AGAGGTTTTTCAGGGACTTTCTCTCGCCCTTGTCAAAGGTCTCTCCTCCAGCTTTGCACTAGATAACCTGGTTAAAATAGTATCTTCTGCAGAGCATAATGCAGGATTGTTCCAGATCTTGCCAAGCTGAGGGAGTGTCAGCAATCCTGCTTTAATTCAGCCTTCAGAAGTGCTGGGGCTGTCTTAATGATGGGTCTCTGCAGCTGAAAGCAGAGCAGGGTAAAGAAATGCTGTTGAAGATGCCCTTCAGATGCAGTCTGCTGAAATAACTGTATTTTCTTTCCTCCTCCCCCTGCTGTGTGATTGAGGGGAGGTTGTGTTACCTCCCTCCCCAAGAGGACCCACTCACTGCTGCTATGTGTCAGGGTCCCTTTGAGGGCTGCTTTTCAGTCCTCCTGCTGAAATGAATCTGAGCTGGGAGTTGGCTTGCTGGCCTCTTTGAAACGGTGTTATCTTGCTTCTGCCTTATCAGATGGAGATGCTGCTTCAGTGGTGGTTCACTCCTGATGTGAGGAGGGTGCAGAGTGCCGCAAGCAGGCAGGAGGATTAGTTCTGCTTGAAGGGGCAGGCACAGATCTGCATCTCCAAGCAGGGGGACAAGTGACCATGTGGATTGGGCATCTGGAATCAGAAAGCTTGCCCTTTGCATAGAGATGAGGAGGAGGAGACCTGATTAAGCAGCTCTTTGTGTGTTCTTATCTATATACCCTCTCCTTTAGCCTGAGGTTTTCCCACGTCTGCTCCCGTGCGTGAAGCATCACACTGACACACATTGCTCTGCTGAAAGCATTAGAAAGCTGTTTGTGTTGTTGCCCTCCCAGTAAGCCTGTGGCCTTTTTAGAATGCTTCTTACTTTTAACTGTCTTATGTGTGACTGCTGCCATAAAGTAAGAGAGAAACATCTGCTTTCCTAAATGCTTCAGCAAGGCAGAACTGCGGGTTGTGTGTTTGAAGCATGATACCCAGTTGGGCATAACTCAGCTTTGTGTCTGTAAATAGAAGTTTTAATCTCTGTTCTGGTGTTACATTAGATGGGTTTTCATGTGGGAGAGAGGCCTGTGGTAGCCCAAGATAGCATGGGTCATATACATGGCCTTTGTCAAGGAGTGCTTGCTGAAGGTAACTTGCGTTCACAGTGAGCTCTGTAACAGTGCTACTCTGTCCATGGCACGAAAATCACAGTTGGGAAACAGATCTTCTTAAATCTGTTCATTTCCTGTTCCTCTGCCTGTCTCCAGAGCTGCAGTAAGGGTTGTGTGTGAGATCTGCACCCAAAGAGGCTTCACTGAGCACGTTGCTGCTTGCTTTACCAGTAGGCAAACCGGTGGGTCAGTGCTGTGCATCATTCCCATTGCTTGGACTCATACCATGCTATGGTGAAACATCATCTGATTGCTCTTTTTCTGGTAAGCTCTCTCTTGAGGGGTAGATGGTGGTTGGGGATACAATGAACTGTCCCTTCTGGCTGCTCAAGGAGCAACACCAGGGTTGGAAGACCCCAAGAAGCTCTTTGTGGCCCTCACCGCTCACAAAAGCTGCTGCAGGGTTGCATCGGTTTATTCTGAGGAGGTATATTTAGGTCTGGAAGAGTAATTACACAGCTTTGAATAAGTCTGGAGTCAGAAGAGGGCAAAGCTGAGCTTGGCAGGGATTCAACCTTCTGGGAATCTCAGCAAAGTGGTACAGGCGGCTCCTTAAAAATAAAGCTTCTGCAGACCCGTTGAGCTGACACCTTGTACCAGGCTCGGGGCTGCTCTATTTCTGGCTCTCCAAATGCAGAGTAACGTTTAAAATTAGCCATTTTGTGGTTTAAAGCTGTTAGTTTCTGCTTTGCTTTTAGCTGCCTTGTGATTAGGATGGAAGGAAACGCCTCTCAGTAAAGCCCTCTCCACACTGCATATGTGTTTTGGGTTTGGGTGTGATGGTTCCTAATTGTACATCAGAGAATATTCAAGGGCTAAATACAAAACTGCTCCTCATCCAGGCCACTTGTTTCTCTATTTTAGTGTTCTCTGATTCCCAGCCTAACCATAACTTGGTGGGAGGTGGACACACAAAGCCCATCGCTTCCCACAAGCCATCTTTTGGACATGTGGAACGGATATTTTAGCGTTTGATTGGAGGCAATAGTACTGTTAGTTGCTTGTCTAACGATACAGACCCAGCCCTCGCCCTTAGGTCTTTAAACTCTCTCTAAAGTCACACTTTAAAGTGAGAAAGTAAGTCGAAAAGTCACTTTTATATGATTGTGGCACTTGTGACTGGAAAGCAGCTCTGCATTGTAACTTGTGAACTCCTTTCCATCCTACACAGACTATGCCGAAGCTATAAGCCCCAAGCTACAAGTGCACCTGCAGCTGGGGTTCGTGTTTGTGGTGCTGTGGGTAACATAACTCCCCCACCAAATCCTTTTCCTAATCCCTTGCACCGTGTGGTATCTGCAGCAGGTCTGGAGAGCCAACATACAGCCTTAATAAAAGCAGTGTGTCTGTTAGGTGCGCTTGTGCTAACAGCAGATTACTCCAAAGGAGCTCTTACTGCTCATCAGCACTTTTGGTTGTGAAGTAATTAGCCCTCATTGGACTTGGCAGCACTTAGCAGATGCTTCATCATAGCTGCATTGTAACAGGAGCAGAAGTCCTGAGTAAGGAAACTCGCACCATGGAGCAGTCTTGCTCCGACTGCAGGAGCAGCTGTGGGGAGCTGGGTGCATGGAATGGGTGTTCAGGAGCTGGAGCTTGGGCACTGAAATAGTCACCTGTGACTGGAGCTGGAGCTCTGAGCCAGGGTTTGCAGCACTGTGCTGTTGTACGTGAGCTGAAAATTGTTCACTTGGCCTCACTATAGAAAATCATAGAATCCCAAACTGGTTTGGGTTGGAAAGAACCTTAGCATCATCCACTTCCAGCCCTCTGCTTTAGGCAGGGATGCCTCACACTAGGCCATGTTGCCCAAGGCTCTGCCCAGCCTGGCTTGAACAGTGCCAGGGATGCAGCATTCACCACTTCTCTGGCCAACCTGTGCCAGCTCCTCAGCACCCTCACTGTAAAGAGCTTCTTCCTTATATCTAACCTGAACTTACCCTGTTTCAGTTTAAACCCGTCACCCTGTGTCCTATTGCTACAGTCCCTCATGAAGAGTCCCTTTCCAGCATCCTTATAGCCCGCTTCAAACACTGGAAGGCTGTTCTGAAGTCATTCCTTTTTAAAGACAAGTAATGCTAAAATATCTCCGGTCTTACTGCATCCCGTGTACCTTCCTTATGCCTCTGAAGTACATGTGTTCCCAAAGCATTTCTCTGTTCTGTTGAATTCCTTGTTTCATCTGTATCCGAGTTCCTTCCTTTAGGTCACTTGAGATACCTGCTATTAAGTCAGGTTTAAGACACCTCACAGCTGAAATGTAACTTGCCTAATTTGCCTGGCTGGGTGAATATTTTATTAAAGGCAAAGCCTTTTTAATCCCTCTGGAAGTGTTTTCTCTCCTGTCTGAATGAGCTGCAGTTGAGTGAAGCAATGAGAACCAGCTCTCATCTTGAATTAATCCCAGATCCAAAGGTACTTTCGGCACTCTGATGTCTCACTTTTCAGTGACTTCAATAGCCAGCCTTAGTTCTGTCTGGAAGGAGCTTAAGTTCACTTCCTGGCAGTAACTGCTGCCCTCTCTATTCCCATGTTTTAAACAGGGTGATCAGTCCTTATCTGCCTTACAGACAATCACAGGTTTCAGTTATTCTGCTCTCTGCATTTACCTTGGCCAGCACATTCAGGTCCCACAGTACAGCTCAGAGGACTAGCAGGGACCTCCCAGCTCCCTGGTATCTGTCTGTTGGGCTCACTCGGGGTTGCAGAAGGGCTTCTTGGGCTGTGCTCTGGCTTTTGGCCCTTCCTTCCCAGAAGGAGAGTTGAGGCAGTGCCAAGGCTGATCGTTCTCCCCTTTGCCACCAATCTCTGGCATGCCCTGTGTCAGCTGGTGGGAAACCTCCCTTTCCCTGCTAAAGCAAACAGTTTATCGGGTGCCTTTGCCCCTTTGTCCTGTGCAAAGAGGAGAGATAAGAGCGAGATGCAAACTTGCCAGCTCATAGCTGTCAGAAGCGCCTTCCCTTCCCTCCCCAGCCTCAGCACTTTGAGAACTGAATAGGCTGAAGGTCAAGCTCTGAGCCATAAACAGGTCGTCCTGCAGAGGAACCAGAGCCCCATGGAAGGACCCACACACCTCCTTTCCAGCTCCTTGGGAGGGTGAAATCCAGCTTCCCCTGAGGGCTCTGCAGAAGCCAGTCCTATACCTGAAGAAGGTGGCTTCTTCTACTCCTCATGTGCACTCAGGCTAAGCTGGAGCTGTGTGCTTCTCCACTCACCCTGGTAGGTCTAGGTAGGCTTCTCAGAAGCTGTGCAAGCAAACCCACCTCCTCCTGGTTTAGACTCCTTTACGGTCTGAAACCCCTGTGTGATTTGAAGCATGATGTTTGCTTGATGTGATCCTGTCTGCATGCACCCAGGAGCATTTCCACGTGCGTTTTTGTCCTCCTCCATGCTGGCTGGCCTCACTGGCTTAGTCCCAGCATGAGAAGCAGGATGGCTGCCGGGAAGGACAAGCTGTCCAGGACACACAGCACATTTGCTGTACAAAACAGGCACATCATAGGAAGATAAGCTTGCAAACCTTTTCAGCTCGGTTCAGTTACAGAGGCTGGGCAATGACTGCGCTAAACCAGCTGAGCAGGAAATGTCAGTGAGCTTTGTGAGAGTTTTAAAGGCAAATTCTGTTGATGAGGTGATGAGTCTTTCCTGGAACCTGGGTGGATTTTACCTGCATTGACTAGTGAGAAGCTTGATGTGATTATAACACCTTTGTGTGGTGCAGTTTGAGGTGGTGTGGACAAAGCTCTATCGTAGACAATCTTAACAAGCCAGATTGCTAGTCCTTAAAACCAAATACTTAATAAGGAGGATTGATTTGGTTTGTGCCTTTATTTGAAGATTGTTTTTGCTTTCTCACAGAGAGGAAGTGCAGGAAAACTGTGTCCGCTGGAAGAAGAAATTCACCTTTGTGTGTAAAATGAGTGCCAACCCAGCCACAGGACTCCTGGACCCCTGCATCTGCCGAGTGTCTGTCCGGAAGGTGAGCATCTCCCTTCTGCTTCTGGCAGGTCGTACCACCAGAGTAATGGTGTTGGACACTACCTGCGTTTTGGCAGCAAGAATTGCATGGGCAGGGATTTGTTTGGGCCAGGATGTGACTTGAACACAAGCAAGGGTGCTTGGTGGAGGGTGGGAGTGATGAGGGTGGTGGTAACCTATGTGGGACAGAGGTTTGTGAAATCCTGAGAGCAAATTCCAGGATTGAGTAATGACTTTCCCCCAGTTTCCCCAGCACATTTAATAGTTGCTTTTCCTGTTTGTTTTGTCTCCTGTTATAGGAGCTGAAGGGCGGAAAAACCTACTCAAAGGTAAGAGCACAGAAAGGGCAAATGTGGGAGAGTGATGATGGTCTTGTCTTCTGTTAGTGCTTTACATCCATTAGAAACCAGTGGCTGCTGCGTGAAGCAATCAGGGGACATGGTCATCAGTTCTTAGTTTAAGCCTGAGTTAAGCGATTTCCCAAAAACTGGACATGCTGGGACAGGATCCAGATTGTGTTGGATGTGGATTTGAGAAGGGGGCTGGGAAGATGATCTGCATGTCCTCAAACTTTGGGGAAGTTCTGAGTCAGATGTGAACTCTCTGGCTCCTGGCAGCGTCGTGCTCATAAACACAGACTCCAGTTCTGTTCTCCACAACGCAGCAGGGAGCTGTGGCTGGGGTAGGCACCTCGCTGCCTTGTGTGCAGGCAGAAACCTACAGCAGAATCACTGCCTTCCAAAGCACAGGAGACACGGAGGCAAAAAGCAAACACATCAGCAGGGATGTTAGTTTTGGTTTGTTCCCCACTGTTTCCTTGCCTGTGCTATGGGAGAGACAATGGGACACCCCCTTCTCTGTGTGCTGGATCAAGAGACAATGTTGGCTTAGAGATGGAGCTCACACAGAGCTCAAAACCATGTTTGTTTGAAAATGAGTCACTGCCGCTGGTTTCTAATAAACAGATGTTCAGGTCACGCACATCCTTGTAAGAGCTTCTTCTAATCAATACCCTTCCTGAGGCCATGGAGGTAACTGGCTTTGAAGGGTGAACCACACTGCATGACAGAGGGCAGTGGTGCTGCCCACACTGTTCCTTTTTTGTAGCTGGTCAGGTCATGGTCTCTGGGGCCATCGGTTTCTCTTTCAGTAAGCTCTCACTGAGGGGAGGTTATTCCTCCGTTCTGCAGATGTTTCTCTGAGACAGAGTAAATGCATCAGCCTGTTCCTCCCATCATGTCCATCCTCAAGTGTCCCACAGGGTTTGGAAACACAGAATCAATGAAAACCTGAAGGCACGTCTCCGAGGTGGAGTTAACCTGGGCTCTTCTTCAGGCCATGTTCTAACCTACTCCATGTTTACTCAGTCACCAGTTGTGTTTAGTGCCATTTTGAAAGAGTCCTTGTTGCTCCAGCCCAGGAAGGGAGACTAGATCTCAAACACCCATCTCATGCTTAGTCTGCTCTGTAAAGGCAGTCATGTTCTAGTTGTCAACAGAAGGCAACCCAAGCACTTCAGCAGCTCAGAAAGAAGGGATGTCACACCAGACCAGGGATTAAGCATTGCAGTCTTGACCAGGCTTATTCCAGGCAGGTCCTTGTGGCAGAACTAACTTGGGATTCCTGATGTTTCTAGCATAATCTTAAGTCCCTACATCTATTTTCCCATTCTGAACAAGTCCTCACCTTTTTAAACTACATTCATTCATGTGAAAACTCCTCCAGTCACGGCAGCAGATGTAGAGGAAGATGCAGCTTACGAATGCCTCTTTACCTGGTCCCTCTTCAGCAGGGACTGAGAGGGGTGGAGCTGTTTGTGCTCAAGACAGTTTCCATCCACTCGTGCACCTTTTGCTTTGACGTTAATGTCACTTCAGTGTCAGGGATCACAAAGAGGAAGCCAACAGGAAGGATTGATCAAGCGGAAACTCTTTCCCTGAGCTGGAAGAAACAGCATCAGCTGGCTGGAAAACTGAGGAAGCTATTCGGAAAGGTTACATCTGAAAACATCCTTTTGTTAAGGGATCCTTCCTTTATATACTGGGAGTCTGCTTCCTGAGAAGAGCTTCTGACCTCAGCACACCATATGGGTGGCTGGAGGCTTCTCCCACACTCTGTCCTCTGATGGTGATCTCTGAGAAGTTAGTGCTGTGGTGAAGAGGGATCTGGGTTCCTCCTGTGCCCTCCAGTTTTGTCACAATGATGGATTGCAGCTCCCTCTGTGGCTTTCTCCTCTCTTGTTTATCTCGCAGAGATAAAAATTCACTGTTTGTTTTGGGGTTGTCTTTTTCCTTATCAGGCAATACTCAGCAAGCAGCATCCTGAGCTAGAGGAGTCAGGAACATCTGGAGAAACACTTGCATTAAGGGAATTCTTATGAACAGAGAAAAGAAGGAGAAAAGTTAGGGTTTGGGGGTTTATTTGCCCTGTGGTTCCTGCTGTATCCCACACTCTTGTATTCCTTTGCCATCAGCTCTTCTTCCCCTTTGAGAAGGGGATGGAGGAAGCAGCTATGCTAATCCTGCAACTGTTTCCCCTTGGATCACATATCTTGTGCAGACTGTGGTTTAGACTTCTGATTTGGAGCAGTGGGAGCCAGGGTTCATACAGCAGTGACTGTGGTTTGTGCTCTGACTCCCTGTCAGCTTCCACAGTTGACAGCACCACATTTCCTTAGGATGGTGCTACTGGTTGGAGCTCCCTGTTGTGCCATCCAGCTGTCAGCACCAGGGCAGGAGGAATGTATGGCAATGTACAGAGTAGCAGCTAGGTCCAGGCTGCTTCTCCACCTCCCTTCCGTGTTCTCATGGAAGGTGACCTGTATGTTGAAGTGACGCAGTTTCTATGCTTGGATGGCTTGGCCAGATACAGGGTGCAGCATCTGTTCCTGATCAGATTAGATGAAACACAACTGACTTCTATTGCTAAAGCTCTGCTTAAAAGAAGCTATAACTTTTGCTTTAAAGCACTGTATTAATATACCAGCAATTAGAGCAGAAACACAAGCGTACTCTTCCTTGTGTTCGTTTTTACTCTAGAGACATAGGTACCCTCTTTGAATTTGCCTGTCTTCTTCAACATTCCCTATTCACCTTCCCTATTTGCTCCCCTTTGTTAGAGGAGGTTTAGAGAGCTCACAGCTAAATCTCTCCAAACACCTCTCTTCCCTTCTGCCTGTCAAACTTCCCACTTCCCAGTTAAATCTTAGCGGTGTTGAGGAACCTTTGCTCCAGGACAGAGTGGGGCACACACTGCTGCATGGCTCTGGGTTTCCAGCTTGCTGTGCTCCAAGGCTCAGGTTTGTTTTTCAGGACGGTGTCACTTTCCTCTGTAACAATATCCTTTCATCTCCTGGTTCACATGCTCCACTGCATTCTGGGATGGCCCGATACAAAGAGTGCCTTATTATGTTTGTGTGTGTGTGATTCTGTTTTTTCCACATCGTTGACCTAGTGCCTTCCATGTCCTTGGTTATGCAACGGCTGCGGGCTGGTTAACACTGTCCTGGCCAGCACCACTGCTCTGTGTCCTTCCTCCACATGGAGCTGGCTTCCTGAAGGCCTCCAACATGGTTTGGGATTAGGAATATGACTCTGCTCATTCAGTACTTGGGGAGCTTCACAGCCACAACTCTCCGTGCACTGGCTCCTGCTTCTGCCCTTGCTCACAGATGCTCTCTCTTCCTTTAGTCTGTGTGACACCACAAATCCCTTTATTGACTATATTTTGTTCTCTCCCCTTCCCCTCCATTGTTTTCCTGGCTACAGCTGGGCTTTGCTGATCTCAATCTGGCAGAGTTTGCAGGCTCTGGATCCACTGTGCGCTGTTGCTTGCTGGAAGGATACGATACTAAGAACACCCGACAGGACAACTCCATCCTAAAGGTACAACAGCTAGCACTGCATAGTGAAATCCTACTATTCAATTGCAGTGCCAAGCCTGAGAGGAGGTTCTGCATTATGTACAGAGACAGGATTTAGCCTTTTATGCTGCTAGTCTGACTTGGGAAGCTTCCCATTATCAAAGTTGCCCTTTGATATCTTGGCATCCGTTTGGCCAAGCCATGACCCTCTATACATTCTTTGTCATCAAAGAAACCATGAGCAGGAGGGGTGAAACAAGTTCTGAGGCTGCTGTCCTGCTGAACCACTGCAAATGAGAGTTACTGATGCCAGTAATACGGGACAGGGAGGGAAATACCTTCCTAAATCCCTGAAGCTGATTTCCTTTGGAAAGAAACTAGGTCTTGCTAATCTTTACACCTAGCCCTTGACCTCCTGCTTATTGTGAAGTGAGGAGCTCACTGCAGCATGGTTAATGATGTGCCTTGTCCCCCTCTCCAGGTCACGATTGGAATGTCCCTGCTGTCAGGGGACCCCTGCTTCAAAACGTGAGTTTCTGGGTGCTCATCCCATGCTGGGCAGACCAGGACATCTGGTTCTTTTGCAGTTCCTTGCTGGAAACTGAAGTTGATAGGGAGGGGGGGAAAGATGCCCTTGACTGATACTGGGAAGTACAGGGGAAAGCTTGAAACTGGTGGGCTGGGTTGTTAAATAGCACAGCCAGCCTCTGCTGTTAATCTTTGTCTCTGCTGTGGTTCTCCCAGCTGGGTTATGGGTTGTGCACAGTATTTTCTCTGCTGGTATCAGTTAGGCTTTAGAAACCAGTGGTTGTTGATGACAAACTTCATGTTTTGCCTCAAGGATAGAATTTCTCATCGCTCTGGGGTTGGTTTCACTGACCTCCTGGAAGGGAAAGGTCAGCAAAGAAAACAGGCTTGGAAAAGGACATGGTTCAGCACATCTCACGCAGGATAAGGAGCTCAGATTGAAACAGCAACAAAAATACTGCAAGGCTGGAACATTTTAATTCTCCTTTTTTTTCCCTATAGGAGCCCAGGTTCATAGTTTGTCTTAGCAGAGAAGCTGCAGTTGTGTACTTGTTAATACATCATTCTAGGAAAGAATAAGCACAGTTAAGCTATGAAGCAGTTTTGTTGCTTAAGGAATTGATGGAGGGTCTGTTAACAAATATACCAGCAACATTTGACATTGCACTGCACTATAGCATTGCAAGGCTCACAGCCCAGGCTGCGTAAGGTGTGTGACTGTACACAGCAGGACTGCCACACACTGATAGACTGTGTTGACTCCTAACACCATGAGAGAAGAAAGCATTACCTTGAGGCCATCTCTTGTAGCTGTGGTATTTTGGGCTCAAAGGTCTAATTTTAGGAGCTAGCTTGAAGAGTATAAATCAACTTACATTCTTGTTGTAAAATGCTGCATGATTTGGGGTGGGTTTATTTTGTGAATGGCTTTTCATAGCAGTGCAGCATTCAGACCTGAAGTGCAGTGTCATCTGATTCTGCAGGGTTTCTGCCTCAGAAGGAAGTGTAATAAAGAAGTTTTGGATCTCTTAAACCATAACTTTTTAGCAGTAACAGATGTTTTAAATCTAGGGTACTAGGATGACTGGCAATAACATGTCTGCCGCAAATAACTGTTGCTCCTTCACTGTGGAAGCAAGTCCCACTGTTAAAAGTGCCTGAAAATGATACAGAATTGGGTATGAATATCCATTTAATATAAGTAGGCTCAGTGTGAAAGTGAAACCTCCTAATTTTCTTAAAGGATTTTTCCAGTCATTTCCATTTTTTCCTTACATGTTGACGATGTGCAACTGTCTGGAAATGGAAGCTTTGCGTGCAGAACAGCCCTTGATCAGTAGAGCTTTTGATAAATGGCACTCATTAGAGGATTAGGCAGGAATTAAACTGTGCTGGGAAATCACTTCCGAGCACTGACTTTCTGCAGTGCTCCCATGAACCTTCTCCTCCTGGGTGTTGTGGAGGGGGCAGAGCAGCCTGAGCTGAGAGCCACAGGAACACTTACTTCATTAACACTGTAAAGGCCTCATTAACCTGCAGAGCAAAGTCCCCAAATACCTTGGTGCATGTAAATCACTAAGAACATGATTAGGGAGGGTTTTTTTCCTTGTGAAGGCATGCTATGGGTTTCCTTAAGCCTTTAGAGCTCTTTGGCTGCCCATAAAGCACTCAGTGCTGTACTTTTTCTCCCAAAATGCTGCCAAGATCCTCTCATGTAGCATCTCTCAGAGCTCCAAGTGAGGCAAACAGGAGTTTTTCTTTCTCACTCCTCACTTAAAAGGCATAATACGATCCATTAGTTCCAGTTCAGACTTCAGGCTACAGGGAAGTTAAGGCTCCAACAGGAATATTCACATGCTGTGGCTTCCACCCAAAAACAGTTCTGGAGGAAGGGAGGGGGCTCCAGGCACTCGCAGTCAGCATTTACAAAGGGATGTTGGGAGCACACAGAATAACCAGGAAAAATGATTTTGACAGCTGGAAAAACACTTTAATTTCACTGCAAAGGAGTTTAATCATCAGTTGACAAAAGGAAAGGTTATTTGATCATTGTAAATGTACTCTCACAGGAGGATGGGGTTGCTGGGATAAAAGGTTGCTTTCTGACCCAAGTCAAAAAGGTGTAATGAAAGGGCGCTGGAATTGAGAGCTGAACAACAGCAAACTGGTTCCTGTTTGGGAAGCCAGCTGGCCACTGGACACGTGCTGGGGGAAAGGGCAGCTCTAGAGGATAGCTAAGGCTCTGCGCCTGTTGTCCTTACAAATGATTGAATTGATTGGCCTCTTTTTGTCTTAAATTAAGTCAGTAACTTTCTTGTAATGCAGTCCACATGCAGTTTGAGGTAGGGAAGACCTGAGTCTTGCATGTAGGAACATGAAAGCTAGTGTCACACTAGTCACAGAGAGCTGCCAGCTTCCTCCATCACAAAGGGTAGGAGCAAGCGGGGGGAATGCTCTTGATAGTAGAGTGGGAGTTGCTGGTGGGATGGGGTGATTCCCAGTCTCTGCCTGGCTGGCTGTAACCTCCTTCACTTGTGATTCCAGGCCTCCCTCCACTGCCAAATCCATCACCATACCGGGACAGGACTCTTCCCTACAGCTGACCTGTAAGGGCGAGGGAACCACGAGCAGCAGCAGCAGCAGCAGCGGTTCAGCCACGATTGGCTCCTTGCGTCAGACCAAGCCAAGAGCTGCCATTCTCAGCTCGGGTATGAATGCCTGTCCTGGAGCCATGAAATGCTTGGCTGTGTCTGGACACTCTTTTGTTCTCTTCCCCACAGTTACAAGCACAGAAACTCTTTTATTTTTTCATGTTTTCCTCACCCCTCTGCTCAGGGAGAAAAACAAAACCATCTATGAAGTGTAGCTGAGGAGAGGAAGGATTAGTGTTTGCATGTTTCTTAGTGGTTCTTTTTGCTGGGGATTTAATAATTGCACTCATCCTGCTTTCCATTGTGTGCAGAGACACTTACCATTGTTCTCCACTCAGCTCTTCTGTTGCTCAGACTTATCTTCTAGAAAAGTCCCTCTGAAGGTTTTAGAGGTTGGTTTGAGGTCTAATGGCCTTGTTCCAGCTGCTGATGCAGAGTTCTTTGGCTTCTCTATGAGCCTGTTTTCAAGGGCACTGCATTTTCACGTAGCTTTTTTTCCCTTCCTAGTACATTTGGAGTGCAGGCAGATACATTGCACCAAAATAGCACTCCAGGCTCATTGTTACCTCAGTGACTTAGCACACTGTGCAAGTGCTCTTCTTAAACTGGCTAACATGTTGTACTTGTGCACTTCTTGATACGCTTCCTGCGTGAGAGACAAGCAGAGGTGATGGCAAAGGAGCAGAGGTTGTGCTGAGGTTTCTCTATCAAGCTGAGATGTGATTTAGATTGCACGGGCTCTCTCACAAGTAATAAGGAAGTTATAGAAGGGGAATAGTAACGGTGATAGAAGGGGAAAGGTGGCAACAGGAGAAGCACACAAGTAGAGGTTATAATACTTCACTACCAGCAACCATTTGATGTTTTCTTGGGTTTAACTTAATGCTTTTAACTAGGATGGCTTCACGCACTACCTGCCCTTCTAGATCCTTTAAGCCCCCAGAGATGCTTGTAAATGCCAACACTGGATGCTGGAATTAGTGATCAACTTGTCAGCGAAGCTCACTGTTGTCTTCCCTGCTCCCCAGCTCCTTCTAAGCTCTCTACTAGCCTGTACAGCAGGGCTGTGCCAGCAGACTTGCCCTTTCCTTGATCTAGCATCCCTGCAGTCCAATGTGCCGGCTTGGATACGGTGTAAGCAGAGTGCCCTGTTGTTCCTTGGCAGGTGTCCCAGAAGAACCGGATCAGAACCTGTCCAGCCCAGAGGAAGTCTTCCATTCAGGGCACTCGCGGAACTCCAGCTATGCCAGCCAGCAGTCCAAGATCTCTGGTAACTATTGATCCACACTGCTCTGCCAGCACTGGCCCTATCCACTTTCTGCCCTGCAATGAGCTCTTGTGAGAATGATTTGCAGCCAGCTCTCTTGCCCTGCTCTAATACCAGTCTCCTGTTTAGTCTCTGCAGATGAGCTCATAGATGTATGCCTGAACCTCTGTATGTGGGAGCAGAAATGCTGCTCTGAAGCTGTCCTGCCTAATAACTGTGCTGCCAGCACAGGGAGATGATCTGGTTTGTAATCCCTGTGTGTTTGCAGGTTACAGCACGGAGCACTCCCGCTCTTCCAGTATGTCTGACTTGACCCATCGCCGGAACACCTCCACCAGCAGCAGTGCATCCGGGGGGCTGAGCATGACAGTGGAGTGTCCTGAAGGAGAGCGGGACCACAAGCTGGAGAAGCCACCTCGCCCCCCTAGACCAGCCATTCTGCTGGATAGACCCTCCCGGTGAGTAACTGTGCAGCAAAGCAAAGCCCCTTCTCTGGGAAGGTGAGGCAGGATCTGCTCATTTATCTTCAGATAGCAGTAGATCGGATTGTAGTCGCTGAGAAGGTTATTGCCAAGAGAAGCTTGACAGTAAATGGAAGTCTGTGTCTTGAAAAGCTGAGTAAGTTTTCTCTATTTCTCCCCAAAGGAGGAAAAAGGATTCGGTGGAGAGTCACCCAACACGAGTGGATGACACCAGGATCGATGCTGATGATATAGTGGAGAAAATAATGCAGAGTCAGGACTTCACAGATGTCAGCAATACTGAAGGTGAGAGGAGGTCTCAAAGGGGATGTCTTGGCTGTTCCTTTAGCAAGGCTTACAAGCTTTTACAGCCAGATCTGATCTGCTATGGACTCCCTTCCCTTATGGGGAGCAGTTTGCTTTCAGTGCTTGCAGGGTGTTTCTATGGTAAACAAACAAACCACATGAAGAGCTGCACATCCATTAGCAAGCAGCGCTTGCTGCTGTTCTCCACAGTACAGCAGAGCTCAAACAGAAAGGATGAGAGGGGAAAAACACTAGTTCTTCAGTGCAGTGGAAATCAGTTACATCAGCTCTCTGTACTGCTTTAGTGGCCTTCATCCAGGGTCAGCCCAAGGGTATTTATTAAAGTAGGAGAACACAACTGGAGGGGAAACAGCCCATCTCTGCAAAAGGATGGGAGGAAAGGTGTGTCACAGTGTGCTGGTCGTCAGGTCTGAGAGCCTAAAAAGGGGTTTTCTCCACTGCAGTCACATCTGTTCATAAGAAATATCACTGCCTTTGTTTGAATTTTCCAGTTTAGTCTTTTTCATCTTGTTGAGGTTTTTGATAAGTTTTAAACTTGAACCCAGCTTATTATTCATGCTTGCATAGTTACCATTAGTCACCTTAAATCATTGCACATGGCAGCACTCTTATCATATGTGGATTTACACCTCACTTAGCCTGAGTTAAAACTAGACTGAATGTAGCCACCTCTCACGGCAGAACAGCCTGAATTTCTCCTCCAGTGAGCCTACGAAAGCAGGATGAGGCCCCACATCTCATCCATTCAGATGTGTTTAAGCTGGCCCACAACTTGGATCAATGGAATTGCCTTCAAAGAAGCAGCTGGAGGAGTATCACTGAATTAATGTCCTGCATTTACTCTTCCAAAGCTTAACACTCCGGTTGATTTGTACATGAGGCTCCCTTTCAGAGCAAGCAGAGGAGTTCCCCGAGGCTCTGTTACTGTGGGAACATTGTGTATGCACAGAAACCCACTTGTTCCCATGCTGTGTAATGTGTCTGGGAGGGGAGCACCTGGCAGCCGTTGGTGCTTCTGGACTTTGATGTTTTACTTCATTTTCTATCCACAGACAGTAACCTGAGGCTGTTTGTGAGCAGAGATGGAACAACTACATTGAGTGGTATTCAGCTGGGAAACAGGTAGGCTTCCAATGGCAGACAGAGGGGCTCCGGAGGGATTGCTTGGCTCTTTGTACCCAGGAACCTCTCACCCTTTGATACAGGAGAGATTTCTAAACATCATGTGCTATGTGGTGGCTTTATTCCCACATTAGCACCCCTGGGATCCCTTTGGTGACAGGCTCCAGCTACGCTGGGTTACGAATGCAGTTCCCAGCTGGAGCTAGGAGGGATAATATGCTCCTAGTTGTTAGATCCAGGAACAGAAGTAAGGAATGAAAGGACAAAATGGTAGAGGTTGGTTCCTGTTTGCCGCTGTGCCCACAGGGAGCTTTGCCTCCTGCTGGCCTACAGCAAGACTGCAGCATCTGCTTTATTGTCCCCTTTCCCTGCCTCCTCCATCGTCGTTGAGGGCTTGTTCTCTCATGAAAGACTTGTGAACAAGCACAGCTTATTCTTGCTCTTAGTGCAGTGTCTTGGCTGGTTGAGTCTGAATCTTTACAGCACCTTTTGAGGTTAAAAAACCACCCAGACAACGATGGTAACACAAAGATCTGTCAAGTTGGTGACAAATAGGGGAGCACAGCAAAGCCAGGAACACTGGCTCTTTGCGCAGGATACTCCCCCTTTTCCTCTGTCCTTTAGGATTCATGTGCTACACCCAGCTCTTTCAATTGCTCTGGTGTCAGCTTGCCACATAGCTGTCTGGTTTGTGTTATGAGCTTTGACTCCTGGCCAGACCGGCTCCTTGTTCTCAGTCTTTGGTGTGGGGTTAGAGGGTGATGTTTGTGAGGGGAGAGCTCGGAATAACAACCTGAAGTGACTGGGGGGAAATAACCTGGCTTTCTCCTCTTCTTCCCCACTCCCTCCCCAGGGTCTCATCTGGAGTTTACGAGCCAGTGGTGATTGAAACCCACTAAATGTGAAGAACAGGGTAGAGCTGCTGGAAACAGGCCCCCTACCCAGTCCGCCGCCACATGGATGCCAACCTTTACCTCTCTTCATGCAGCATTCCAGAAGGGATTTCTCCACCCCTCCCCGTACATTTGCACTGCAGAACTACTCCGAGACCACTCCAGATCATGCACTTTTCCCTGAGTTGGCATTACCCTTCTCCACTTCCCAGTTCTTCCAGTGCCTGCCCTCCCCCTGTTTCTATTCGGACGTAAGGTGTCTGTTGAGCTTATCCTTAGTCCTAGAGGATGTTGCTCATGTGCATCCCTCACTCCACCCATTCACTTGCAGCAGGGGGCTTCTCAGCTTCTGTCTCCCCAAAGCATTGGGTTTATACCACTGTGAACTCTTGAAACCACTGGGGGAGAGGGGGAAACCGTTGTAACCAAACCGAGAGCTGCTTGTGGGTGACACGGTGAAAAGCCCACTTGCAGGATGCTTTATCCCATTGACTCTGCAAGGGAACATCACCTTCCAAGGCAACGGTTTTTACAGAACAAGGTATGCTATGGTGTACACTTCACCTTCCTGCCCTCAAATCCCCAAACATCCTCTTGTCTCATAGGAAACACTTCCCAAAAGTGCATTTCAGAGAACTACCACGATCCACATGGGAGTTGAGAACGGTTAAATGCTAATGCTGTTATACCACTAACTGCATTACACCCTTCCACTGCTGGGCATGGAAGGGCAGTGTTCATCTGTTAGCATTAGCAGGAGCACTTTAGATGTTCCAGATTTTACCTGGAAGAGGCTTCTAGTTGCTGTTCCAGGAGCGTGATCCCTGTTTGCTGCACTGAGCCAGCAAATAGTCACTGTTGGAGCTTGGAATACAAAGCCTCTTTTTTTTTGTTGTTGTTTTCTTCTTTTTTTTGTTGTTATTTTAGGCTCAGGAAGGGAAGTGCCCTTCTTGAACTGTGAAAAGAATCTGGCTATCTGATAGCCCTCCCCTGGGCCAGGGCAGGGTGCAGTTGACTGTGGTGGTCTCTCTGTTGTGGTGGTGATTAACAATTGCCTCTCTTGGCCTGCTCCAGGGAGGGAATTGGTGTTGGTTGGCCTTTCTTGCCCTGTCAGTGGGCATCTGTGCCTGTGCTGGTTCTTTCTGGGGCTGGGGAGAAGCCACTGTCTCTGCCTTCAGAGGTAGGATGGATGTCTTCTGCTGCCTTAGCCATGGCAGCCGTTCTTACCTGCTCTGTAGCGAGTGAACTCTTCTGGCAAGGCTTCAAACTGTTCTCTGGTTGATCTTTCAATTGGGTTCGGTTCCTGCTGTTGGGTGACACTTGGGCTGCCTCTTTTCCTTGCAGTGTGTGGCAGAGATGTCGGTCGGTCCCTTTCAGCTCTCACATCTTCTCCTGGCAGCTGAACTGCAGACGAGGATGTAGGCAAGGTCCAGCCAGGGGCTGTGCTTGCAGCCCTTCCTGTACAGAGACTCTCAGCTGAGAAGCTATTTCCTTGTAGTGCCCTTTCCTCTTTTGCCAGTGGACTGTGGTGCACTCGGAGCAATGGCACCCTCCTGGGCATGGCTGGGGATGTGCCCTCCTGTGATACACACGTGTGTGTGCACACACTTCAGCAAGCAGAAACTTGTAACTGATCACGTTGTTGTTCCAATTCTTAGTTATTGGAAAGCCTTTTCTTAATGGGAAAGCAAAAAGGGTGAGCTATGGTCTCTGTAGCCACAATGCATGCAGATGAGCTACTGGAAAAGGGAATTTGGCAGAATGAGAAGCAAGGAATGAAAGGACCTTGATTTATGGTTTCTGCCCTGCTCGCTAAGGATGGCTGCATGGGAGGGTACTAAGCAGCTATACAGCTGTTTGCTCTGGTTTGACAGTTTCTGTCTTTGAGTCAAGAGGTTTCTTTCTGTATTTGGACAGACCACATGTAGGATATGGATCTTTTTTCACCCTTTCCCTTCAAAGGGAATTAGATTTGGATTAGGGTAAGAAGAGGGGGTACAGACAACACCTTGCTTTGGTTTAATGTAGGGGAGAAGTATTGGATCTTTTGAGTCTGTCTGGAACAAAAGCTCTTTCACATTTGCTGGAGGTTCTTAATGGTGATCATTCAGTCTGGGTAGGTTTGGCACTCGCTCGCAGGCTGGTGAGCATCCTGCCCTGCTCCCGGGGTGCCCTGTGTCTGCAGGAAGGGGAGGACCACTCGCTTTTCTCTCTCCCTGGGGCTTTGCCAGAAAGCCAGGCCTGGCCTGACCCTCTGCTCTGGTCAGGGTGAGGGCAGCAGCAGGCTCAGACAGCAGTGGGCATTCCACCCTGCCTGCGGAGCTGCTCCATAGCACAGAGCCCCTGCTGCTCCCCAGGGGCCAGCAAAGCCCCTTGGGGGGAATCAGGTCCAAGCAGGACTTGAAAGGAGCAAACATAAGCCAGGAAAGAGGCCAAAACCCGACTCACTTGTGCTGCTCTGCTTCTGTTCCCATGGAAAACAATGGCACTGGCTGTCGGAGCAGTTGGAATCCAGGGCTTTCTTCTGGGCTCCATTGGCAAGAGTCAGCTGCTCCGAGGTGCTGGCAGCTTGGCCTGTCATGAAATCACCAGTGGGGGACACAGAGGGAGGAATCTGTTCCCAGCAAAGCAAAAGGAGAAGCAGTTGAGCTTTCCAGAAAGCTGGTCTCACCTTCCCAGGCTGGCAGAGGCACAACCTGCTCCATCCCATAGCTGTGGCCAACCTGGGCACATCTCTGGCTTCTTCTCCTCTGGCTTGGCACATCACCACTTGTGGTTTTTGATAACTGTCTCTCATGGGGTGTCTCTTCCTTGTCTCCACGTTATTGACTCCACAGATCCTGGTCTTTATGTAGCTTTTCAGCTCTCCTACCCTTGGTTTTGAATTAGAAAGCAGCCCTAGCCGTTCAGCCTGGTGCAGCAGAGCCAGGGCTGTGGTACCCAGCTGGAGGAAGGAGCAGTCTGTTCCTGTTCCTGGATCCCACACAGAGCTCCCACTGCAGTGCCCATTGGTGGGCACAAAGGCAGCGGTGCAGGCAGTGGGATCCCTTATCCTGCAGACTCGCTGCCACCTCGGGAAGCTGCATCTCACGAGCACTTTTCTCCTTGTGGCATCGCTTGCCCTCTGTTCCTCAGTGGACTTTGAGCATTGAAGCAGTGCATCGGTTTCAGACCCAAACCTCTGGTTAGTTTCCTTTGGGATTTTCTTTTTTGTTGTGAAGTTTAATGAGGTTTTTTTTTTTTATAAACCCAGCAGGCTGGTGGTTTTTGGGGTTTTTTTTTTTGACTTGCATTATTGTTTCATTGATATTTTATTCCTGGGGGGTGGGGGGGGTTGAAGGGGGAGGATGCTCTTCCCCACATCGTTCCCCTTCTCAGGGGATTCAGAGCTGGCTTAAACTAAAAGGACCTTATTGGCAAGACTCTGCATCCCTATGGTCTGTGATGCTGGTGAGCAGGGCTGCTCCTGCCTGGCTGATCCAGAGAGCAGAGCTGGCCTCTGCTTTGGCCTGGGGGCCAGGTGAGATGTGTGGGCTCTGCTCAGCCAGTTTCTGGACCTTTAGCTGGTGGAAGCCCATTGCAAAGAGTTGGGAAATTCAATATAACTTTTTTGTTTTACTAACTTTCTTTTCTTTTTAAACCAATCTAAACTGAGTGAATGTCTGTAAGGATAGGCTTAGCTGTGACTTGGTGAAGGAGATGGCTTTCAATTGGAAATTGTGATGGGGAGGGGGGAAGAAAAGGGGGGAGAAGGATGTTGTTCCTCCGTCATCTTTTGTATGGCCAGCACTTTAAATGGGGGCCCTCGTGCTGTGCTGACCCTTGGGCAGCAGGTGCGTGATCTCTCCCCCTCCTCATCCTCCTTATGAAATAAGCCCCTGTTTTTAACACTTGCTTCAGTCTATAGAGGGTCCCAAGCCCTGCAGAGCACCCGTTTCGGTCTCATCTTCATAGGAGGGGGGTGACTTCTTATTTATTGTTGTCGTCGCTGTTTTCTTTTGAACCCGCTGGCACCTGCAGCTGGACTCTGCACGTGCAACGTGTTGTGAACCTCTGGGAAAACCTCACTCCAGGTACGCTTAGAGCACGTAGGTTAAAACACCCCTCCTGGAGAGGGGAACCCCCCCTCCTTTGCTCCCCTTCCTCACTGCCTTACCCGGGAGCTGCAGATTCACCCTCCTTTACCCCATCACCTCTCGCTCCGGTGACAGCCCTGTGGACAAGGCTGCTCCCCAAGGGGCAAGGACCTACAAGCGCTGCCTGGTTGCAGGCGTTTGTCCTTAAAGAGCCACTTCCTCGCTGGGGTGCGAGCCCCAAATTCCCCCTTGCTTCCCTCCCGAGCCTGATGCCCTCTCCAGGTTGCATCGCCCCTGCCCCATCAGGAAGGGAGCGGACATGGGAAACTGGGAAGTAACAAGGAATTTGAATGCGGCTGAGCCTCGGAGCTTGTCTCAAACATAAGGAATAATGGTAGAGCCCGTATTTTTGTGGGGGGGAAAGGGGAGATGTTGGTTTATTTTCTTGGAAGCCAATGGAGCTCGGTGCTGTTCAGCGGAGGCGCGCACTTGATTTCTATCAGATTCTATAGAGAGATGGCTGATATTTTTGGAAAGGGAATGAATGGGTCTATGCAAACTTCCAAAAATGGCTTGAAAATAAGAAAAAAAGAGATAGTTTAACATTTTTTTACTTTGAAATCTAAAGAGAAAAAAAACTCTAACTTTGTTTCTTAAAGTGCGTTTAGAAAGAGAAGCTACTTCCACTGCTCTATTTTGATGATGATGATGATGATTCTTGGAGAGTTTGGGCTGGAGGGAATGACTATTTTTCACCATTTTTATCTTGCTCCTCTAGTTTGGGGTTTTGTTTCTTTGTTTTGTTTTTTTCCTAACGGAATGCTGTGCCGTCTTTGATTCAACAGAGATCGTGTTTGTATTTTCTGTATCTGGTTCCTAACGTAGAGAAATAACAAATATATGAGGCAAATCAATATAATGTCAAATGTTGTTATGGTTTGGGAGGGCGGGGGAATAAAGGGGTTTTGGTACTTCACACTGCTTCTGCTCCCTTTGTTTCTTGCTTTAAATATACCAAAGTATCTGCTAAGGAAGCAGAAGGGGGAGGTTAGGGCTGGTTGGGATCGGGTTTGGCTTTGCCTTCCAGCATCGCCTTGGTGATGGGGATACAGGACCCGAGTACCTCGGGCGCTGGAGATGGGTTTGAGCCCTTGGGGTCCATAGATGACACCAGCACAACGTGTTGCTGGGGGAGGCGCTCCTCTCCCTTCGCTGAACCCGCTGTAAGCGGGGTCCATGGGGAGACAGGGCCGTACGGGCATCCCTTCCGGGCGGGGGATGATGCGCCCCGGCTCGGCCCTATGCAAGTACCGGCTAGGGGCCGGGCCGAGCTCCGCCCGGGACTACAACTCCCGTCATGCTCCGCGCCAGCCGCACTGATTGGCCTCCGCTGGGTGGGCAGGGCGGACGTTGGGCACGCTGATTGGTGGCCGCTCCCGGAAGGGCGGGGCTCGCGGGGAGGGAGGCCGCCGGTCGCCATGGTGAGTGCGGGCGGTTCCGCTCCGCGCCTCGGGGCGCCGTGAGGGGAACCGGGCCCGGCCGGGGGGAACCGGGCTCCGGGAGCCCCGTTAACACCGCGGGGCTGCGCTGAGCCGAGGCCGGGAACCAGTGCGGGGCCGCCGGAGACGGGTCCGGGTCCCTCCGCCTCACGGGGCCGCACCGGGACCCGCGGCTGGGAAGAGCGGGCGGAAGCGCTCCCGCAGCGGGGCCCGGCCGTTGCCGTCGCGGTGTTCGTGCTGCCGAGGCTCTCCCCGCACCGTCCCCAGGTTCATGCCGGTGCCCATGAGCCGCTCCAGCGCTGGGCCCGCAGCGTGCGGATCCGCTCTGACCGCTTCTCCCTCCGCAGGCCACAGCAACGGACCAGGTGGTTGGGTTCGGTTTGGTCACCTTCAGCGCCCTCCTCTTCGTTTACTACACCCTCTGGATCATCGTACTGGTACGGGGCTCCTGGCGGCTACAGCCCAGGCTCTTCACCCCCCCCCCCGGTGTTTGCCCAGGCCTTGCTTAGGTGCTGATGTGTTCCTGTGGGGCTCTGCTTGCCACCTTCCTGGTTAGAACATCGAGGGCAGAGCTTCCTCTGTTGCTGGCCCCCTCTGGGTGTGCCTGGGCAAGACCAAGCTCCAGTCACGCTGCCTGCCCTGCTGCCCTAAACCAGGCTGATGCAGCCAGGGTAAGATCCAAAGCCCATGTGAGCTGTCAGCTGAAGCCTGGTCCCTCTGCAGGTGATGCTGGTGGTGTCTGCATTTGTAGTGCCGCAGGTTGCTGGTTCTAAAGGGAATTAAAAGTGGTAAATATAGAAAGAGATCACTCTTCCCAAGAGCTCAGCAGGGAAGAGATTCAGAGCAACCCTGTGGAGAAGGCCTTGGGGGTGTTGGTCAATGGGAAACTGAACATGAGCCGGCTTCAGTGTGCACTCACAGCCCAGAAAGCCAACCATATCCTGGGCTGCATCAAAAGGAGCGTGACCAGCAGGGTGAAGGAGGTGATCCTGCCCCTCTGCTCTGCTCTCATGAGACCTCACTTGGAGTATTGTGTGCAGTTCTGGTGTCCTCAACATAAAAAGGACATGGAACTGTTGGAACAAGTCCAGAGAAGGGCCATGAGGATGATCAGGGACTGGAGCACCTCCTGTATGGAGACAAGCTGAGAAAGTTGGGGCTGTTCAGCCTGGAGAAGAGAAACTGTGTGGAGACCTCATAGCAGCCTTCCAGTATCTGAAGGGGGCCTATAGGGATGCTGGGGATGGACTCTTCATTAGGGACTGTAGTGACAGGACAAGGGGTAATGGGTTAAAACTTAAACAGGGGAAGTTTGGATTGGATCTAAGGAGGAAATTCTTTCCTATTAGGGTGGTGAGGCACTGGAATGGGTTGCCCAGGGAGGTTGTGAATGCTCCATCCCTGGCGGTGTTCAAGGCCAGCTTGGACAGAGCCTTGGGTGCCATGGTTTAGTGTGAGGTGTCCCTGCCCATGGCAGGGGGTTGGAACTGGATGATCTCAAGGTCCTTTCCAACCCAAACCATTCTATGATTCTATGAATGTAGAGCTCTGGAGAAGTGGTTCTGAGCCTGATAGGTCCACCCGCTTCAGGGTCATTAGAATGAGGGAACACCAGGTTGGACCTCAAGGATCATCTGGTCCGACCTCATGAATGATTTTCTCCTTGGAAAGAAACCTCTTGTGAGCTTTCCAGGTTGGAGAAGCCTGGTGCAACCCTGGCTGATGGCTCCTGGCACCTTCCCCTCCAACCTCCGACCGCTTTGAGTTCCCTCCTGCCCCTGCTTGCTCTGCTCCCGCTGTGTTTGTGCTGTTGGCCGCTGCCGGGCAGGAATCCTTACACTGCTCTCTAGTGTCCGAAGCCTTCCAGTGGTGATCCTGGTGGGAACACCATGAAACAGAGCCAGGATCAGCTCCTCCTTTCTGCAGGGCAGAGAGCCCTGGGGTTCACTGTGTTCAGCACCGAGCAGGATGGCAGCTGAGCCCAGCCTGGGGTTTTATGGGCCTCATGTCCCTGCCCCTTGTCACCTGCTGAGTGCTGCAGCCTCCTCAGCCACGTCCTGCTCTGCGAGCCCTATTTTTAGCTATCTCCTGCTTGATATTTCCATCCTGCTTTGGAAAGCACGAGGCTGCAGGTGCTGGGGCCTGGCCCTGGTGCTGTGCCACCTCCTGACAGCCCTCTGTGTGCCCTGCAGCCCTTCATCGACAGCGACCACAGCATCCACCAGTACTTCTTGCCCAGGGAGTACGCGGTTCTCATCCCCGTGGTGGCGGGGCTGCTGCTGCTGCTATTTATAGGTGAGTGTTCTAATTAGAAGCTTCTAAATTAGGAAGAGGGAAGAAGGTTGCTTGGGGCCTCTGTGACACTTGTGCCATGCTCCCTGTGGCCACTGCTGCAGCTCAGCCTGGCACAGGCTCTGCGGGCTGGTGTTTGGGTGTAATGTGGGCCCTGCACAGAGGCATTGTCTCACTCGTGCTGCTCGGGGCCTGTTTCTCACAGCACCTGTAATCAGATGTTTCCTGCCTCACTCTGGTCTCTTTCTCATTGCAGGTGTGTTTATAACGGTTGTGATGTGGAAGAACAGGAAACCTGTCAAGAAATCGGACTAAAGGGGGTGAGAAGGCGCCAGAGCCAAGAAAAGACTTTGCCTGCACCCCAAGCAGGCAGTGCTCAGCACCAAACCCTCCTTCCTGCACCGTACTGACCAAGGGAACCAAACCTGACACTCAGGGCTCATCGAGAGAGGGACCAGAGCCCTGCTGTGAGGGACCTGCTCCAATCTGGGGCTGTGCTCTGGGCTGCAGTGGATGGGGACCAGCCTCCACCCTCTGCTCAGCCTCTGGGTGATCCTTCCCCGCTGCTCTTGTTGTGTCCAGTGTGTTCCTCCTGTGTCCCTATTAAATGTTCACATATGGTTTGTGGGGGTTTCTTAATGGTGTTTGAGAGGAAAGAAATGAGACTTTGGGCTTGGAAGAGGCAGGTTTGCATTCTCCATTTGCCTGCTGGAGGAGCTGATCATAGAATCCAAGAAGGGTTTGGGTGGAAGGGAGCTTCAAGCCCATCCAGCTCCAACCGCATGCCACGAGCAGGGACACCTTCCACTGGAGCAGCTTGTTTGAGTCCGATCTGACCTCTCTGAAGAGGAGCCCTTATGTGGGATGTGAGCACTGGGAAACATCAGAGAGCCTGGCTGGGGTGGCCTGGGCATACCCAGCCCTGTGCTATGGGGCAGCTCCAGCAAGGGGAGGGCAGGGTTGGGATGCTCTGATCCTTTCCACACGGACTGAGAGCTTCCCCTACCAGGCAGCACCGTGTCCCATCACCTCCGGTCCTGCCCAGGGGTGATGCTGGTGGCTCAGGTGCCTTGGGCTGAGCCTGGCTGTGGTTTAACCCCATGTGCGTGGTCCAGAGGCTGCCAGGCCTCCATCCAGCCCATGAGGGTGGATGTGAGCTGGGACAGGAGGAGGCCAAAGGGTGGAAGATGGGATCATGTCTGCCCGCAGTTGGGTTTGCCCTGCGTCAGAGCCCCACAGTGTCCCTGTCACCTCATCCCCGATCCTGCTCCAGGCGTGCCAAGGACAGGGCTGGGACCAGTTTTGAGGCTACTTCTCATGTTTCTCTGTCAACAGGGGGAGGATACAAAGTCCAGCACCCCCCCTCCGGGCAGCAGGCACCTGCCTCGGGAGCGCTTCGCATAGCCCAGGGGTAAGAAGGGTGGCCCTTTGGGGGCATCAGTGGGGACTGGGAACCAAGGGTTGAGCTGCTCTGGATCCCCTTGGTCCCAGTGAGCGGCGTGGTTGGGAGCTGATGGTGCATAGAGGTGAGAAGGGGGCTTGGGGACACGGGGGTTCACAGCAGGGACCCCAAGCGACGGCAGAGGAGGTGCAGAGGGAAACGGGCACTGGGGGCCATAGAGCGGTGGCTGGGGCCGGGTCCGTACCAGGGTACGTGCGGTGCTGCCCCGTGTGGGGCCGGTCCCGGTGCCGGTGCGGGAGGCGGGGCTGGGCTGCGGGGCGCGGGGTGGGGGGGCGGTCCCGCTCGGCCCCGCCCCGGCGCTGCCCCGCGGGATGCGGGACCCGGCGGCCGCGGCCCTGGGGGCCGGGGAGCGGCGGCGCCGCGGGGGCTCCCGGCGCGGTGAGTGCGGGGCGGGGATGGGGATGGGGATGGGGGGGCCGGGGATGGGGTCCCCGGTGCTGAACCCGCTCTGTGCGCAGGGAGCGAGCCGCGACCCTCCTGGTGACCCCGGGCCCCACGGTGCCCCCCGAGCATGAAGACCCTGGTGAGTACCCGCAGGGGGGGGGGGGCCCGACGGCACCGGCGGGGAAGGAGCCCGGGTGAGCCGCGGACCCCGCAGGCAGCACCGAGCCCCTGAGCGCGGCCCTCGGCCGGTGCTGCCTGCAGGAAGTAAGCTCGGTGCAGGCGCCCAGCGCTCCCCCTGCGCCCCGACGCCCATCGCCGTGGGTCTGCTCCTGGGCACGGCCCCATGGAGCCCCCCGGCATCCAGCGCACATGGCCGGGCCCGCAGGAACCGTCCTTGTCCCGCTCTGCTCCAGGCCCGGCTCTTCCTGTCGCTGGTGTGCGCGGCGCTGGGCGCTGTGTTCTACGTCCTGCTGTGCAACCGGCCCCCGGCGCAGTGGGGCAGCCCCACAGCATCCACTGCCCCCCGCTTCCAGGGGTACAGCCGCGTCCCTGATGGGAAGGTGAGCGGGGATGGGGCAGCTGGGCCCGACCGTGCCTCAGTTTCCCCTTAATGAGTGTGGAAGGGGCTGCAGGAGGCAATGGGGAGCCAATGGGTTCATCTCCCCACAGCCACTGGAGCGGGCCCCGTGCCGCCGCTGCGCCGTGGTCTCGAGCTCGGGGCAGATGCTGGGCTCAGGCCTGGGCCAGGCCATCGATGGGCAGGAGTGCGTCCTGCGCATGAACCACGCGCCCACCGCCGGCTACGAGGAGGACGTGGGCAGCCGCAGCACCGTCCGTGTGGTGTCGCACACCAGCGTCCCCCTGCTCCTGAGGAACCAGCGCTACTTCTTCCAGCAGTGCCGGGACACCCTGTACATCATCTGGGGCCCGGCGAGGAAGATGAGCAGGGAGAAAGGGGGTTTGACCTACCAGGCGCTGCTGAAGGTGATGCAGATGTACCCGCACCTGCAGATCTACACCCTGACCAATGAGAAGATGGCCTATTGCGATGACATCTTCCAGAATGAGACGGGCAAGAACAGGTACCACCACATCCCATGGAGACCCCAGTGGGTTCCCCCACTGTAGCACCAGTCCCAACCCATCAGACACCCGTATCCCACCCGCTCATCGCGGTGCTTTGCAGGATGAAGTCCGGCTCCTTCCTAAGCACGGGGTGGTTCACCATGATCCTGGCCATGGAGCTCTGCGAGCGCATCTGTGTCTTCGGCATGGTCAGCGACAGCTACTGCAGGTACGTGGGGAGCAGTGGGTGTGGGGTGACCCAGCGTCCCCCCTCGAGTCCCACACACCCCATCCCCTTGCAACAGGGAGAAGAACCACTCGAGCGTGCCCTACCACTACTTCGAGCAGGGCCAGCTGGATGAGTGCAGGATGTACCTGGTGCACGAGCGAGCCCAGCGCGCCGGGCACCGCTTCATCACCGAGAAAACCATCTTCTCCCGCTGGGCCAAGAGGAAGAACATCACCTTCACCCACCCGTCCTGGGCTGGTGGATAGGGGTGAGCCATGGGGCGAGGCAGCATCCTGCAGTGACATGCCTTGGCTGCACCGGTGCTGCTACAGCAGCAGGGCCGGTTCCTCCAGCTGCTGGGTGGGCTGGGACCCCCCCCAATGTTGGTGCACAGGGGTATGAGCTGGACCCGTAGAGCCCCATTGGCACCAAGCATCTCTCTGATGGACCCAGTGTGACCACAAAGGGTTTCCACCTGCTCTGCTGGGTGAATGCTGGATGCAGGATGGAACATTCACGCTGCTGGGCTGCAGTGTGACAGTGGCAGAGCTCAGGGCCATGAACCGGTGCCTCTCCCAGGCATGGAGCTCCTTGCCCCACTGATGCCCTGATTCCTGGTGCTTGATGTGGGGCGCAGGGCTCCCCCATCCTGCTGCCTTCTGCTGCTCTGCGCCGGGGCAGGTCCCTGTGGTCCCCTGCATCCCTTTAACAGGGATGCCCTGGGGTCACACACAGCTCAGGGGGGGCTTCACGTTGCCTCATCACAAGTGCCCTTGGATTCAGACCAAAGCAAACGTGACCATTAAATGCAGTTTTAACTCGATGGTGCCTTGTGCCGTGCCCCTTAGGGCTGCGGGACGTGGGGACAGGGGACAGCAGCTGCTCTCTGTGCTGCCAGCATCCTGCTCCCCTGCCAGGCTATAAATAAGGTGATGAGGGGGTAGAGCTGAGCCTGAGCGTGGAGGAAGGAGCCGATGGTGGAGACCATTTGGGAACCAGCAGCTGCATCCCAACCAGGTCCCTGTGAGATGGGCACTGGCCTGGGGTGGATCTGTGCTGGGTCCAGGCTGATCTTTGGCCTGCAGAGGAGTTTGTGCAGACCTGGGTCATGCCAGGACACAGCGCAACGGCCCTGACCCCGGCTGCAGCTCTTGGAGCCCTTAACAGATGCCACAGGCTTGGGTGGGCCTGGAGGTGTCCGGAGGAGGGCAGAGGGAGCCGCGTTCACCCCCGTTTCAGCGGGGATCAAGTGAGGAGGGAGTCACCAGGAGATGCTGCCAGGGCATGGAGCCACAGGCGAGCGTGAACCAAGAGCCCGTGGGGCTCTGCCCCATTGCCACAACCGCACACAGGGAAGGGCCGCGCTAGCACAGCCGAGCCGAGATCCCCCCCAGGACAGGGCCTGCAGGTGCCGGTCAGCGCCCTCCCTGCCGCACCACATCCCCGGAGCGCGATGGGGGAGGCGGCGGCATCCCAACAATGCGGCCCAGGCACCACGTGTTGCTCTGGTGCCCTCCCCGGTGCCCTCGGGGGTGGGACGGGTCGGATCGCAGGGGCGGGAGCAAGCTCCGGCCTGCCCCGTAGGGGCCTGGAGCGGGGAGGGCGGCGCTAGGACCCCCGCGGAGCTCCGCGTCCTGGCGGGCGGCGCTAGGACCCTTGCGGCTCTCTCCAGCCCGGGCGGGCGGCGCTAGGACCCCCGCGGAGCTCCGCGTCCTGGCGGGCGGCGCTAGGACCCCTGCGGCTCTCTCCATCCCGGGCGGGCGGCGCTAGGACCCTGCGTTGATTCTCGGTTCCGGCCCAGGCGGCAGCGCATCAGCATCACCGTTATCGGCATCACCGGTATCAGCATCACCGGTACCGGCACCGACAGCAGCAGCATCGCGGCGCACTGCGGAGCGGTCGGTGGATACGTTGCGTCCTCTCCGGGCCCGTTTAGCCGGTGCAGGGGGTGGAACGGCTCCGGTGCACGGGGGGGTTATGGAGGGCGGACGGGTCCCGGTCTGCGCAGTTCGTGCAAAGCGGGGCTGCCGGGGGAGGGCTGCACCCTTGGGAGCGGGGATGTGGGGGGGGGCACCGGGAAGCGGGGGAGGATTCGCATTCCGGGGCGGGTTTTCCCTTCCCGGGCATCAGCAGGGATCGCATCCGGGGCTGGGGGATCCCTGCACGTTGTGGGTGCAGCCGGGTTTGCACCGGGGGGGAGCGGGTCCGGATCAGCCCTTTCCCGACAGAGCCAAGATGTGAGCTCGGGGCAACCGTGGAACCGGACACCCCCCCACCACCACCACCACCCCGCAACATCCCGCATCCCTACGCGGCCCGAGGAGGAGATGACGGCCCCCCCGCGCCCTGCGCTGCCCGCCGCAGATGAGACCCCTCGACCAGGTAAGGCCCAATGTGGGGTCCCCGATGCGGGGTTCCCCATGGCCAGAGCACTGCGGAGATGCAGGTGCAGGGGCACCGGTGCTGCCCTCCCACAGCCTGTGCACGTCGAGGCCCCTCTGCACCCACACACCAAGGCTGGCCCCTGTTGGACCCTTCCCGTCCATCCACAGCGGCCCTGAGAGCCCTGCGGACCCCCCTAGGGTTGGACCAGGAGCTGCTGCATCATTTTCCATCCCTGCTTCCCCCCCAGGGCAATTACTGAGGAGGCTTCAATTTGGTTTTAATTCCCAATTGCTCCCAGCAGCTGCGCCTCGGTAACCAGGACCTGGCAGAATAAACTGGGTCAGCCCATTGCTGCGAGCCCGGGTGCAGGACCCCCCCAGGGGTGAGCACGCTGGGGCTGGAGAGGTTGCTGCTGGCTCTGGTTGGATTGAGCCCATGCGTGAGTTGAGCTGGGCTCAGTTCTTCCCCGCCGTGGTCTGAGCCTCCCAGGTGCTTGGTTTAATGGGATTTACCACGCAAGCACTGGGTTTACCCACGCTGACCCACGGGTTTGAATGGTTTCAGGCCTGCCAGCAGAGGATAATCCATCCCTGGCTCCCAGCCCGCTGCAGGGATCTCCCTGGTATGAGCTGTGGCCACGCTGAGCTCCTCCACACCACAGAGCCCATGGGCATTCCCTTCCCCTGTATCAGTGCTGGGGTGTCCCACCGGGTACCCATCCCGGGCTGCTCTGTGGCTCATCCCATACCCCTGCCATCCCAATTGCGGTGCCAAGTGGGTAGTGCAGGGGGTGACCGTGTGCCTTGCAGGTGCTTGCGGGACACTGGCGGTCGCAGTGCACTGAGGCCGGCACAAAGAGATGAGTGGCAGCACGGTGAGTGCTGGAGCATCTCCCTATGGACACTGGGAGTCTCCCTATGGACACTGGAGGTGATGCAGGGAGCGGGGCCGGGGGCAGCGGCTGATGCTCTCCCCCTGCCCGCAGAGCCAGCGCGCCGCCGCCCTGGGGGTCCTCTTTGCCCTGATCATGTTGCTGATCATCTACAGCTCCGGCAATGGGAGCGAGGTGTTCCCCTACAGCCGCCTGCGGGGCAGAGCCCGCCGGCCCCCCGACCTCAAGAAGTGGGGGGTGAAAAGCGGGTACCTGCCCGTGTGTGGGAACAAGGTACGAGCTGCGGGGCAGGGTGATGCCTTGTCCCGTGCCCCAGCTCCATGCCTCCCTGCTGGGTGTGCTGTGCTGACACCCGCTGTTTGTCATCACCAGACCCTCACTGCCCACTGCCACCAGTGCGTCATCGTCACCAGCTCCAGCCACCTCCTGGGTACCCGCCTGGGCACGGCCATCGACGGGGCCGAATGCACCATCCGCATGAACGATGCTCCCACCACCGGCTACGAGGCCGACGTGGGCAACAAGACCAGCTTCCGCGTGGTGGCCCACTCCAGCCTCTACCGCGTGCTCAAGCGGCCCCAGGAGTTCGTCAACAAGACCCCCGAGACCATCTTCATCTTTTGGGGGCCACCTGCCAAGATGCAGAAGAGCCTCCTGAAGATCATCCAGCGCGTCAGCACCTCCTTCCCCAACATGACGGCCTACGTGGTGTCCCCCGGCCGCATGAAGCAGTTCGATGAGCTGTTCCGGGGGGAGACGGGGAAGGACAGGTACCTCCTGCACCGCATCCCCTCTTTTAGCATGTCCCCATGGTGGAGCTGGCTCTTGGGGCTGCTCCATAGGGTTGGGGCAGGTTGGGGTCTGTATCCCCATCACCGCCCCGCTGTTGTCCCCATGGTGCTTGTGTCCCCCCCCCCCGCTCAGGGAGAAGTCGCGGTCGTGGCTGAGCACGGGCTGGTTCACCATGGTGATCGCGGTGGAGCTCTGCGATGCCGTCCATGTCTACGGCATGGTGCCACCCAACTACTGCGGGTGAGGAGACCCCCGAGCCCTTACCCCAGCCCCGTGTCCCCACCGTGGGGCTCACCCCATGCTTTTCCACCCCATTGCAACCCGCAGCCGCCGGCCCCCACCGCGCCGCCTGCCCTACCACTACTATGAGCCGAAGGGCCCCGATGAGTGCACGACCTACATCCACAACGAGCGGAGCCGCAAGGGCAACCACCACCGCTTCATCACCGAGAAGAGGGTCTTCTCCAGCTGGGCCGGCCTCTACAACATCACCTTCTCCCACCCCACGTGGCCCTAGGGGCTGCCTCTGGAGCTGGGATGGATGAGGGTTCACCTGCATCCCATTGGGAGCAGTTGGAGCCAGGCATCGGATGCCTCTTACGGGACCGTTGCCTCTGCGCACGGTGGCTCCTCGCACTGGGATGTGTTGGGGTTTGAGCTGGGGTTTGGGGTGTTCCCCCCGCCCCATCCATGGACATGGAGGTGAGATCCTGCCTGGTCCTGTAAGAACACAGAGGGGTTCCAGGTCCCTTTGGGGCTGCATCACTTTAGGGGCCACCACAGAGACTGTTTCAAGGGGGACGGGACCCTCCCCTCAGCACCACCCCACAGTTTTCAATGGGACCCTGTGGGGGTGACACTGCCACCATGGGTGCCCCAGCACCCCCGCAGCCACCCCGCAGCACCCCACACTGCCAAAACCTTTTCTAATGGAGCAACGGGATTGGGGGGGGGGGTTTGGGGTGTGTTTTGTTCCTCCTGGTCCCAGGGTTTGTATTTGGGGTTCCCGGCCAAAGGAGTGAGCAGGGTCCTCATTGTTTAATAACCCTTTGGAGGTGGCACGGGGTGGGGGGGTGCAGTGCCCTCAGCACCCCCAGCCAGAGGAGGATTTGTTCATTCCCCATCGGGAGCACCCAGTGGGGAGCAGCTCAATGCAGCGAGCTTGGGGGGATGCTGTGCTCTGTGCCCCGGCTTCCCCTTGGCTGTGCCCCATCCGCGCTGGGGCTTTGGTGGATGCGGTGCCAGGGGAAGCCGTGGGGCTCCCGTGTTTTGTAAAGGGTTTGTACAGGAATAAACGTTGCTGCAGTGTCTTGCCTTGGGCCCTGGCTTTGGGATGGGTGTTTGGGGCTGGGCAGTTGGGTGCTGGTGGGGTCTCAGACCCCCAACCCACAGCGATGCACTTGGGAGGATGCAGGAGACCCATAGGGACCCATGTCCAGCACCCAGCTGAGCCCAGCTATGAGCCATCCCCTCCAGTGCCCTGCCTGGAGCGGGGGGCACCTGAGATCCCCCCCAACTCGTGTCACCCCCAACCAGCTGCCCATGGGGTCTGAGGATGGGGTCTCTGCATCCATAGAGGAGGAGGAGGATGACGAAAGGCAGGTATAAGGGCACTGCGCCCCTGGGGCTCCCCTTCTCATCAGCAGGATGCGGTGGTAACCGGGGTGCTGTGGATGGATGGGGACCGGGATATGGATAAGGATGGGGACAGCTTTCCCCTCCCAAGGGGCTGGAGGCGCAGGATGGACCCCGATGATGTCCCCAAACCCACCAGGGTCGATGCTGCCCCGGCAGATGGGGAAACTGAGGCATTGGGAGGGGTTCTGTGCATCACAGCCCCCCGGTGCTGGGGGTCCGCACCCCTTCCCATAGCCTCCATAGCTCCCATATCCCCCTATAGCCCCCCATAGCCCCCGTTTGCCGCTGCCGGACCCCGAGGACCGCACCAAAGCCGCGGGAGGAGGCGGGGGGAGCTCTGCCCGCCGCTGCCCGCTGCTGCCCGGGCCCGCTCCCGGCGTGCAGCGCGGCGCCGCGGTCTATATATAGCGGTACCGGAGCCGGTGGGAGCGGAGCCGCTGCCCGCCCGGCCCCGCAGAGGTCAGTGCGTGCCCCCGCACCGGGGCCTGCATGGGGGGGGGCACTGCGGTACCGGCGCTGGAGCGGGTTCATGGGGGGGGGGGCGGTACCCGGGGATGCTGTGCCCGGGAGGGGTTGGCAGGAACGGGGGGGGCATTGCAGGGGATGGAGGGGGCTTCAGTGGGTGCTGGGGGCATTGCATGGGTGCGGGGGGGCTTGAATGGGTGCTGGGGGCATTGCATGGGTGCGGGGGGGCTTCAGTGGGTGCTGGGGGCATTGCATGGGTGCTGGAGCTATTGCGTGGATGGTGGGGGGGCTTTCAGGGTGCTGGAGCCATTGTATTGGTGCGGGGGGGTTTAATGGGTGCTGGGGCATTGCATGGGTGAGGGGGGGCTTTAATGGGTGCTGGGGGCATTGCATGGGTGCGGGGGGGCTTCAATGGGTGCTGGGGGCATTGCATGGGTGCTGAAGCTATTGCTTAGATGATGGGGGGGCTTTCAGGGGTGCTGGAGCTATTGTATTGGTGCGGGGGGGCTTTAATGGGTGCTGGGGCATTGCATGGGTGCGGGGGGGCTTGAATGGGTGCTGAGGGCAGTGCATGGGTGAGGGGTTGGCTTGAACGGGTGCTGGGGGCATTGCATGGGTGCTGGAGCTATTGCTTGGATGGTGGGGGGGCTTTCAGAGGTGCTGGAGGCATTGCATTGATGTGGGGCTTATGGGTGCTGGGGGCACTGCATGGGTGCTGGGGGGCTATTGCTTGGATGGGAGGGGAGTTTCAAAGGTGCTGGAGGCATTGCATTGATGCAGGGGGGCTTCAACAGGTGTTGGGGGCTTGCATGGGTGCTGGGGGGCTTGCATGGGTGCTGGAGCTATTGCTTGGATGGTGGGGGGAGCTTTCAGGGTGCTGGAGCTATTGTATTGGTGCTGGAGCCATTGCATGGGTGCTGGGGGGGCTTTCAGGGGTGCTGGAAGGCTCACACATGTGCTGGGGGTCTTGTATGGGTATTGGGGGTCTGGATCTATTGCATGGGTGCTGGGGGCTTGCATGGGTGCTGGAGCAGCCCAGTCCTGGGCCTTGGGGTGTGAGGCAGGGCTGTGTTGGAGCTGGTGTTGGGCACCCACAATGGGCTGTGTTGGGGTGTCCTGACCCGTGCTTCACACCCCCCCCTCCCAGCACCCCTTCAGGACCACAGCACCCTCCCCCTGCACCCATGGGCCCAGCGCTGCGCTGGATCAAGCCCTAAGCCCCCATTGAGCACCAGGGCAGCCCCACCACAGTCAGTGCTCAGCACCCTCCACAGTAGGGACCCCCGGGGGTCCTGCTCCCCCCCAGCCCCATGCACCCCCATAGCAGGGCCCGCAGCGGGACGTGACCCGGTGCCGGTTTCATCCCGGCCATACTTAGCCTCTGCCCTTTCCCGCTGTAAGACGACCTTGTCGGGAGGGATGCCCCATCCCAGCTCCTCATCCAGCCGGTTTGGGCTGACGCTGTGGCCAAGCAGGTCGGGAGCCGCGGGGCTGGGTGCGGGCAGGCAGGGTGGCCACCCCCCTGTCCCAGGTGATGGGGTGCAATGGGGTGATGCCAGGCACCCCCAGCCCATAGAAACCATTGCGCTGGGGGGGTGCTGTGTCCATCACTCGTGTTCTGGTGATGCCTTGGGGGGGCCAGGTGGGTTCGTGGCGCTGTGGGCACTGGGATGTGGTGAGGGCAGGGGAGGAAGGCGGTAACGTCACCGCGCGTCAGCCGGCACAAGGGAAGCCCTCACCGCAGCCGGATGCGGCAGGTGCCGGGAGCCAGGTAGGTGATGGATGTGGGAGCAGGGCTCCCTGTCCGAGGGCTAAGGCTGAGGTCAGGGCACCCTCCGTGCTGGTGGGGGGGCAGAAAACCTGGCCCCCACCTTGGCCGTGGAGCTGGGCAGCAGCGTGGTAGGGAAAGGAGACCCCTGGTCTCCCTAGATGGGGACCTGCGTGTCCCCAATGCGATGAGTTGCTCATCCTGCTCTTCTTCCCTTGCAGCCTCAAGTGCTCCTGTGCCTGGACCACAACAGCATGTCGACAGGTGAGTGCTCTGTCCCCTCTGCATCCTTCCATCTGCTTTGCATCCGTCCTCACCAACCCCTGTTGCATCCATCCCTTTGTCCCCCACCATCACCACCATTGCCATCCCCCTGCATCCGGTCCCTTGGTCCCTCCTGCATCCATCCCCTCAGTACCCCTTGCAACCATCTGCCCTGCATCCATCCCCTCAGTCCTTCCTGCATCCATCCCCTCAGTACCCCCTTGCATCCATCTACCCTCTATCCATCCCCTCAGTCCTTCCTGCATCCATCCCCTCTGCATGCCCACATCCCCCTGTGTCCATCCCCTCCACCCCTCCCTTTACCCACATCCCTTCATCCCATTTGTCCCTTTCACCCCTCCCTTATACCCTTCCCTGTGTCTCCTCCTTGCCTCCCTCCCCTCTGTCCACCCCACGTCTCTCCAGCCCTCTACGTGCCCCACATCCCCTCACTATGTCCCTGCCAGCCTCTTGGCTCCGTCCCCAGCCCCGGGGAGCGCCGGGTGCCGGAGGAGCTGTAATTCCATCCGCCTGTAATCAGGAGATGGGAAAGTGTCCCCAAAGCATCTCGCCTTTATTTTTATCCCTGCCTCCCCCTGGCATCGCCCTGCACCATGGCCAGGTCCTGGCAGGGTACAAGGGTGGGTTTGTGCCACAGGGTCCATGGGGGTCAGGGGCTGTTGGTTGGTGGCCGTGCCAAACCCCCCATTGGGTGACAACCTGGCCACAGGGATGGATGTGGCCATCCCCCCCTATGGTGGAGCTGTGCCCAGTGATGGTCTCCAGGCTACCAAGCAGCAGTGGGATTCCAGCCCTGTGGCCACAGCACCCCTGGGTCTTTGTGCTCAGCCATGGCCTGCTCAGGTGATGAGGACAAGGGGGACACGCAGTGGTTGCCCTCCACTGCACCAGGACTTTGGACTCGGTCCCCTCCATCCCTAGGGATGCCCTGGATCTGGCACCCCCAGGGACACCGCGCTCCCCAGTGCCCTTTCTGGCTTTTGATAGCTCTTTTTATCCCTTTGTCTCCTCCAGAAAAGCTCAAGAACCACAAAATCATCTTTGTGGTGGGTAAGTCTGTGTCCGGGCCCTGTTGCTGGGGCCGTGGTGGGTCAGGGTTGCTGGGACTGGGAGGGCACATCTGGCTGGTCATGGTGTGGCAGCATCTGGGGTGATGTGACAGTAAACATCTGGGGGTGATGTCCTGAGTGCCAGCAGGCAGTGGTGACATCCTTGATGCCAATGGGATGGTGATGGCCAAGTGCCACTGGGATAGTGATGCCCTGGGTCCTGCATGAGCTGGTGATGTCCTGTGTGCTGATGGGGTCGTGATACCCTGGGTATTACTGTGACAGTGATGCCCTGGGTCCTGCACGAGCTGGTGATGTCCTGTGTGCTGATGGGGTCGTGATACCCTGGGTATTACTGTGACAGTGATGCCCTGGGTCCTGCATGGGCTGGTGATGTCCTGTGTGCTGATGGGGTCGTGATACCCTGGGTATTACTGTGACAGTGATGCCCTGGGTTTTGTGGTGTGTTGGGTTGTGGTGGTGTGTTGTGTGTGTGGGGTTGTGTTGGGTTTTGTGTGTGTGGGTCCTGCATGGGCTGGTGATGTCCTGTGTGCTGATGGGGTGTGATGCCCTGGGTATTACTGTGACAGTGATGTCCTGGGTCCTGCATGAGCTGGTGATGTCCTGTGTGCTGATGGGGTTGTGATACCCTGGGTATTACTGTGACAGTGATGTCCTGGGTGATGCCCTGGGTGCCATGAGGGTGGTGGTACTCACATTGCCAGCAGCCCGTGCCAACCCCAAGCACTTGGCATCCCCCATCCCAGGAGGAGTTCTCTTCATCCATCTGATGCTGGCCTCAGGATGCTCACCTTTCCCATCTCATCAGGCTGTGCTGCTGCCTCCATGCAGCTCCTTACCCACGGCTCGGGGCACGTGTGGCCCTTGTGTGACTTGCAGGTGGCCCTGGCTCGGGGAAGGGGACCCAGTGTGAGAAGATCGTGCAGAAGTATGGCTATACCCACCTGTCCACGGGGGACCTGCTGCGGGCAGAGGTCAGCTCAGGCTCGGAGCGGGGCAAGACACTGCAGGCCATCATGGAGAAGGGCGAGCTGGTGCCCCTGGTGAGTCGTGGTGGGACCCACAGGCAGGGGTGGCTTTGGGGACACCAGATACCACGGTAATGGTATCATGGCCGTGGGGCACCTCTGTCCGTGCTGCCACAGGGGGTTTGCAGCAGGGACCGGGGGTGCAGGGTGTGTTGTCCCATGTCCCCTCTGTCCTCCCTTCCTCAGGACACGGTGCTGGACATGCTGAGGGATGCCATGGTGGCCAAAGCAGACGTGTCCAAGGGCTTCCTCATCGATGGGTACCCCCGCGAGGTGAAGCAGGGAGAGGAGTTTGAGAAGAAGGTGAGGGCTGGTGCCATGGAAGAGGGGCTCCATCCAGGTGGAGCCTGGCCTGTCCATCCCAGTGAAGATCCCATCCCAACAGGGTCTAAACTGGGCACCCTGCCTCGGGGACACTACACCAGGGTGCAGTGCATGGGGCACATCTCTCACGGGTGTCCTTGGGCTGACGGTGCTGGCATGATGGTGATGTCAGACACCCAATGCTTGGCTATGGTGTCCCTTTTCCCCCCCTCTGCATGGAGCTGGGGGCCACCAGGACACCAGAACGATGTCCCCATAGACCCATGGTGACAACCGTGTGCTCTGTGCTCGCAGATCGCCCCCCCCACGCTGCTGCTCTATGTGGACGCGGGGAAGGAGACGATGGTGAAGCGCCTGCTGAAGCGGGGCGAGACCAGCGGGCGGGTGGACGACAACGAGGAGACCATCAAGAAGCGTTTGGAGACCTACTACAAGGCCACCGAGCCCGTCATCACCTTCTACAAGAGCAGAGGCATCGTCCGCCAGGTAAGCGGGGATGCGGCTGATGCCAGCATCCTCCAGCCCTATTGGGCGCGTGTGGTCCCAGGGGAGGGGAAGCGATGGATGGGGATGGGGAAAACCCAACCCTGCCTCATTTGGGGTGGGTTTGACCCCCTCCAAGCATAGCCCCACACCCTGCATCAGCCCCGCTCTCCCTGCCCACGGCCACATCCATCCCTGGGAGAGCACTCGCGTCATCCCTGATGGGAGCCCCCAGCTCTGACCCCTTCCATACCCAGCTCAACGCCGAGGGCTCCGTGGACGAGGTCTTCCAGCAGGTCTGCTCCCACCTCGACGCCCTGTAGCCGAGCCCCCGGCCCCGCTCCCCCCCGGCACGCTCCGGCAGAGACAGCGGAAGCGGCTTTATCCTGTTTTCGTGGCCGGAGCCCGCGGAGGAAATCTCAAGGACATTGTGTTTGGCTCTTTCCCGTCTCTCCCCAGTAAAGTTCCCTGTAATGAGCCCAGACTTTATCTTTTTCTTCTGGCGCAGGAAATGAGTTTTTCTTTCCAGAGGTTCTTTTTTTTTCCCTTCTCCCCCCCTTATCCTGCCCCCCAACCCCTCTGCAGCTGATTAAGGGCAGGAAGCGGGTGTTTATCCCACCGGGGGCAGCGGGATGCTGTGCTTGGAGGAAGGGAGGGAGCATCCCGGCCGCTTGCCCCAGCTTCCCAATCCATGGCCTGCGGGGAGCACGGGGCCACGTCCCGCAGCTGGGCCCGCTCACCCCGATCCTGTCCCTCTGCTGGACCTCCCTGTGCTCTGTGTGCGTGGCCCTGGAGCTGCAGGCACCGTCTGAGCCATATCCTGCACACGCATCCCTTTGCCAGCACTGGGATAGCAGATTCAGGCCCAGCCGTGATGGGATGGGGAATTCCATCGCTTTCATGCCTTGGTATTTCCTGGTTTCTTGTGGCTGTCAGGGTTTTTTGGGTACAGGGTGGCTGCAGTGTGGTGTTCTGGGGTAGCATAATGTGGGGTGCTCCCTGCTGCTGGTACCCAGTGCCATCAGTGCCACCTCTGAGCCAAGGATGCAGCCTTGTCCCCAGGGGCTGAGGGACACACTGGGGACACCCAGGCACCAGGCTGGGTGTGGGATAGGGTGAGGGTACTTAGTGGGAATGAATTGCAGGATCCTAGCAGGCTTTTGGAGGTGCTGGTTTGGGGGACTTGGATCTGGGGGCTCCCCAGCACTGCAGAGCAGCCCAGACACGATGCCACAGCAGAGGGGCTGCAGTGGGGACAAGGTTTTACCCATCCATTACAAGTGCAGGATGCAGCAGTGCCACAACCCCATCAGGGCCCCCCCCTCCTCTCACTTTCAGGCTCTCTGGGGGCCGGGGGGGCAGGCGGCAGCGCTGGGGGCAGCCGAGGCCACGGGGCCGGGGCGGAGGAAGGAAGCGAGCAGGGAAAAACATCAATTCCCCGAGCAGCAAACCCAAACTCGCCAGGCTCCGACGTCAGCCCCGAGCATGGGGGGGTGCAGGAGCCACCAGCAGGGCTCGGGGGCACCGCGGGAGGCAGGAAGGATGCGGCCATCCGGCGGGGGCTGGGGCACTGCCAGCATGGCTGAGCCTCATGGTGGTGGGGACCAGGGGACAGTGGGGCAGGCAGGCTGGGATGCTACAGCCCCTAAGCCATGCAGTGGGGAGCAGGGAGCCCATGGCTCTTGTGCCTCCATCCCTGTTTGGGTGTGCTGTGAGCGTGCCTCAGTTTCCCCAAGTGGGGAGCAGGGCAGTGGGGATGGTAGGGGGGATGCTGTGGTGCTCAGCACCTTGCTCTCCTCCCCAGCATGGGTGCTGCGTGCTTGGTGATGGGTTTTGGATGTGTTTCCTCTCGGTGGAAAGCCCAAGGCTGCTCCATAAACCACGATGGGGTGGAAATGCTGTGCTGGGGATGCAGGGCGCACAGGTCTGAGTGCACTGCCAAAGCCACCGTTACCCCGGGGTCCATCATCGAGGGCTTCTTACTCATTGCCCTGCGGGGAGAGGGGTGCGGGTGCCTGGTCCTGGTCCCCATCCTCCTCCCCGGCCGAGCACCCGTCCCCGCGGTCCCCAGGAGATGGCAGTGCTCTGTCATGGGAGGTGGCCACTGCTCACCCAGGGCCACGGACACGGCCGGGGGCATCCTGGCCCTTGCGGAGGGGCCTCGCTGGCTTCCCTGGCAGCTGTGCCCATGGCCGCGACCCTGGCTCGGGATGGAGACCGGTCTGTGCCCCCCCTCAGCACCAGGATGGGTCCCAGCCTCACCGTCAGCCGGGGGAGGGCTCTCAGCTCGGGCAGCACCCACTGACACGCATGGGAGGAGTGGGGCAGGGGTGCACAAGTGGCTCCCTGAGTGCCCCCAGCCACCCTTTGGGTCCCACCTCGGTGGTGCTTCACTGGGACCCCCGAACCCAGGCTGCCCTGTCCCAGGGGACCTCCTAACCCCAAGGCTGCCCCCAGATAGCGATGTCCAGGCAGGGATGTCCAGGCAGTCCCTGGCCACAGCGAGGCCAAGGGTACAGGCAGAGCAGGCAGCAATGCCCTGTGTGAACCCTCCATCTCCAGCATAACCCCAGGGCGGGTGTCCAGAGCCATAGGGCACCAACCAGCCTGGGACATGGTGACCCCACTGTGATGCTGACTGGGAGCAGTGTGGGCTGAATGTCGGGGTGCGGTGGGACAGCCCCTATCCCCATCCCCAGAGGCATCCCCCTCCTCACTGTGCAGGTCGGGCCGTGCTGCAGCAGCACCCACGGGTGTCTTTTGGGGGGTGAACCGCACCCAGTGCCAGCCCAGGGGGTCTCTGGGGACACCCCCTCAACCCCCGGGTACCGGTGCCATCCCCAGCGCATCCTCGGGGGTGATGCCCCGCACGGCGCAGTGGGGAAACTGAGGCACGGGGGGGGGTTGTTGGTGTTTACGCTCCGTCCCTCCTCTTCCCCTCCCCGTTACGGGCGGGCTCCGCCGCCCCCCCCCCCCCCGCCGCCGGCACGGCCCCATTGCCGCCAGCGGCATTTCCTCCCGGCGCGGAGCCGCGCCGCCCGCGGACCCTCCTCCGAAGGGAGTCGGTTTCCTGCCGCTGCCGCCGCCCGGCACTCGGCGCTGGCTCCCCGGGAGCGGCCGCAGCGGACATGGGCCCCCGCGCCGCCCCGCTCCTGCCGCTGCTGCTGGCCCTGCTCGGCCGCACGGGTGAGTTGGGGGCTGCGGGGAACCGGGATGGGAGCCCTGGACGGGACCTCCGGGGCGGCGGCTGCGGCGGGACCCGGTGGGGATGGGGAATCCCGGTCCGTGGTTGAAGGGTCCCGGCTGTGCCGTCGGGGGCAGGGACACCGCTGGGAGCCTCACGGGAGGGAAGGGTTCGGGGGGCAGCGCTAGGGGTGAGGAGGGATGAACCCCCCAGCCCCGGTGAGGGACACACACACACACACAGCGGGACCCCCGAAATCCGGGCTGCGTCACCACGCTCAGAAGCCGCCGAAGGTGCTGGTGCTGGGTCCCCGGTGAAGCAATGGCACAACCGGGGGGCTCGGTGGCTTCCCGGCACCGTGCGGGGGGGAACCATCAGGAGCTGGGGTAAAGAGTGGGAAAGCCCCGTGTGGGCCGTGGGGACGGAGCTCGGGGCTCATCCGCCCCTGGAGCAGTTTGGGCAGGGAAGCACCAAAGCCACCCCGAGGTCCTTGTGAAGCCGCAGGGGGGGTTCCAAAGGGTGACACCCGCGCTGGATGGAGGGCAGGGAGCTGGGGACCGGGGATGGTGGAGGGAAGGGGAACCGGGAAGGCCGGGGCCGGTCCCTCCCAGGCACCGCAGTGACCAGCGCCGATGGATGCTGGTCGGGTGTCCACTCCCTGCCTGCTGTCACCCCTGGTCGCTGTGCCAGGGGTCCCTGTGCTCCCCATAGCTGTGCCATTCGGTCCCCATCCTGTGTAGTGTGCAGTAAGTTCTGTGTCCTCTGTAGCTGTGCCGTATGGTCCCTGTCCTGGGCCTGTGCCATGCGGTCCCCGTCTCATGTGTATGTGCAATAAGGTCTGTGTCCTGTGTAGCTGTGCGGTACAGTCCCATCCTATAGCTGTGCCATATGGTCCGCATCCTATGTATCTGTGACATAGGGGCCCTGTCCTCCCTATCAGTGATGTACAGTCCCTATACCGTGGAGCTGTGCCATCTGGTCCCCATCCCACACAGCTGTGCAATGTCATCTCTGTCCTATGTAGCTGTGCTGTACTGCCCGTGTGCTTTGTACTTGTCCCATACAGTCTCTATCCTACATGGTTGTGCCATGCAGTCCTTGCACTAATGTAGCTGTGCTATATGGACTAAGTCCTGTGTAGCTGTGCTATTTGGTCCCCATCCTGAGTAGCTGTGCCGTACAGTCCCTGTCTTGTCTAGCCATGCTATACAGTCCCTGTTCTACATAGTTTTTGCTTTACAGTCTGCATCCAACACAGCTATTGCATCCTGTCCCTGTCTTATGGAGCTGTGTAACAGAGTTCTTGTCCTAGTGATGCTGTCTGGTCCCTTGCCTATGTGGCTGTGCCATACAGTCCTTGTCCTGCGTAACAGTGCCTGTCTTATGTGACTGTGCCTCTATGGTCACAGTCTTGTGTAACTGACATATAGACCATGTCCTACTCAGCTCTGCTGTACCATCCCACACCTATGCAGCTGTGCTATACGGTCCCTATCCTATGTGCTGTATTGTTCCCATCCTGTGTAGCTCTTCTATATGGTCTCTGTCCTATCTAGCTGTACTATAGGGTCCCTGTCCTATGTAGCTGTGCCATACGGTCCCCATCCTATGTAGCTGTGCCATACGGTCCCTATCCTATGTAGCTAACTGTGTATAACACACTGTTGTCATACAGTCCTGGGCATGTGTTGCTGTGCCATATGGTCCCTGTCCTCCCTACCTGTGCACAAATGCCACATCCTTCCCTCACCTGTCACTCTGCTGCCCCTTCCCCATAGGGAACCATGGGGCTGGGGTACCCGTGCAGGTGCAGTGCTGGGGGGGGGTCTCTTGGACACAGCAGCTTTTAGAGGCCAGGAACTTTGTGCTTCCCCCCCTGGCAGGGGCTGTGTCTGCTCCCTGCAGGGTGAGCTCTGTGCTGGGTCATCCCATCCTGTCCTTGGGGGAGGCTGACTTAGAGAGGGGCAGGAATGATGTGGTCTGCATCGGCCCCAGACCCCGGTCCCATCCGCCCCATCATCTGAGCCCCGATGCCACCTCCACATGGTCCAAGCACCAGCGGTGTCTCAGAGGGTGACACCCCCCCTTCAATTGGCAGTGCAGGATCCATCCCCATCCCTGTCCCATGCTGAGGCCGGGCAGCTCGTTACACAAGTGCCGAGGCGGCACAGCCGGATGCTGGGATGCCGGAGTGGCGCTGCCCGTCCCATGGGGCATCCTGCGCCGCCGGAGCCACCCCAGCCTCGCACCCCCCCATCCCGCCAGCCCCGGGTGTTGTTCCTTGCGCAAGGCCTTTGATCCGCTCCCAAAAAAACCCTGGAATGCCCTCGCTGGCCCCTAACCCGCAATGGGACCATCCCTGGTCCTTGGTCTCCGCCGCGCCAGAGCGAGGGAGAGGGCGGGCGGCTGGAAAAACATAAAATGGATTTTCTTTTCTTTCTTTTTTTTTGTTCTTTTTTTTTTTTTTTTTCCTTTTCCTGGAGTACAAAAATAACAGTGCCCTTATCTGATCGCCCCGGGCGGCCCCGCTGCGCCCCCTTATCTGATCCGGACATAGCGCTGGAGCCCACTGCCTTCCCCAGGGATTGATGCCGGTGGTGCCCATTGGCACCGCTGTGCCCCGCATCCCCTCCACTTGGACCATCCCTGGTCCAGCCCTGGCCCTGCCTGACCTCCCCGCGGGATGCTGCCGGAGGTGGGACGAGCTGCCCGTCCTCTGCCCGGCCGAGCCGCGTGGCCGTGCCCGGTGCCTCGGGGCAGGAGCGGAGGGGAAGAGGGACGCGGGCTGCGGAGCGCAGATAAGCGGCTGTTTATCTTCCTCCCGATGCTGCCGCGGCGCTGGGGGGGGGAGGAAGCGATGCACAATAGGTGGGTCTGAGGCAGCGTCACCAGGGGGGTCTGCACCGTGACCCTGCGGCCGCAGCCACAGCATCCCGATGGGACGGGGACACTGTGATGGTGCAAGTGGCCCCTTGCCGGCTGCATCCCTAAGCCTTGATAATAGAGCATCGCACCCTCCACCTCCAATCCCCACTGGGTGAGCCCTGGTGCGGGGAACAGACACCTCCTGGATGGGAAAAGTTGGAATAGGACGGGATGTGGCCACCTCCAAAGCAAACCCAGCACCCCAAGCCACCGTGTCCCAATGGGAAGCCCCAGAGCTCCCATCCTTCAATGGGGCACCAGTGGGTCGCTGGGACACGTCGCATCACAGGGGCCAGCTCGAGGACAGCCCGGAGCAGAGGAAACGGCCGAGGCGAAGGCGGATTTACACAGGATCAGGCCTTCAAACGGCTGCTTGCACTCAGGATTTCCCTTGGCAGCCGCCCGCCGGCCCTGCTCGCTCACGCGCCGCGCAGGGGGTTCGGGATGGGGCAAAGCTCACGCCTCGGCGCCTGCGGAGGATGAGCTTTAAAGCCATTTCCATACCTGAGCTTCCCACTTTCCTGCAGCACAGAGGGAAATGGGGAGTTGGGGGGGGGGTTTCCGCCACCGCCCCATCGTTGGGATAACCAGGCGCGAGTTTTGGCACGCGGCAGTTTTCCATCCCGGATCCCAGGGTCATTAGCGTGATTGCGGCGGGGTCCTGGCAGCGCTGGATGATCCCTGAGCAAACACGTCGCACATGGCCCCATGGGCGCTGTGCCGGTGCTGGGGCCCTGCAATGCGGCCCCCCCCCCCCCCTTCCCGTGTCACCCCACGTCCGCAGCGGGGACTGATGGCTCCTGTTTCCCGCACAGAGGCCGGGAGAGCCGAGGGCTGTGACCTGCAGCCGGTGGCGGTGGAGCCGCCCATCGCCCTGTCCTACGCCACCAGCACCGTGCCGCGGGGCTGCGTCAGCAGCGGCTCCCTGCGCACCGGCCATGAAGTCCATGTGCTCAGCGTCGAGTGGTCCAAGGTGAGTCAATGGGGGCTGGCGCTGTCACCTTGGGGCTGTCACCCCGGTATTGTCACCCCAGCACTGAGGAGGGTGACCCAGCTCTTAAAGCTAAGAAGCAGTGAGAAGACCCAGATTAATCTCTTCCATGGTGTCCAAGCTTCCCTTCCCCATGCAGCCACTGGTGTCTCTGGTGTCACTGGGGGTTTAAAGTCTTTACAGGCAACTTCTTTACCAGTCCATGATTCCAGAGCAATCCCTGTGCTGGACATCCCAGGAACCCCTATTTCCCTGGGGAGATGGCCTGGTCCTCACTCAGGAGAATGATGGAGCTATGGACACTGAGTGGGGACCACACTGAGGAGGGAGGGATGAAAGGAGAGATGGAGGGATGGAAATAGGGATGGAAGGAGGGACTGAAGGAGGGATAGAGGGATGGAAGGAGGGATGGAGGGATGGAAATAGGGATGGAAGGAGGGACTGAAGGAGGGATAGAGGGATGGAAGGAGGGATGGAGGGATGGAAATAGGGATGGAAGGAGGGATTGAAGGAGGGATAGAGGGATGGAAGGAGGGATGGAGGGATGGAAGGAGGGATTGAAGGAGGGATAGAGGGATGGAAGGAGGGATGGAGGGATGGAAATAGGGATGGAAGGAGGGATTGAAGGAGGGATAGAGGGATGGAAGGAGGGATGGAGGGATGGAAATAGGGATGGAAGGAGGGATTGAAGGAGGGATAGAGGGATGGAAGGAGAGATGGAGGGATGGAAGGAGCGATGCAAGGAGGGACATCACTTGAAAGCAGCCAGGTTGGCAGAACTCTGGCTGTCAGCGTTATCATGTCCTGCCAAAGGGTCAATAACCAAGCTGCCGGTGCCCTGAGCATCTTTCAGATGAGGCCGGGCCCAGCATCCCTGCCTGGCACCGGTGCTGTTGGTTGGGTTTCCACCCTCACATGGGTTTGCTCTGCAGCACAACCCCACTCCCTTCCCATCAGCACCCAGTTCAGACGCAGCCCTGGGCTGCCTGGTGCCACGTCCCCCCCACTTCCACCACCTCCCAGTTCTGCTTTCATAGGGAGCCGGGTTGGGAGCCGCTGCTCAGGGTGGGTTTGACAAGGGCCCGTTTTACCCCATCCCAGTGTGAGCTGTGCCCTGAGGTTGTCCCCAGTGCCGGCAGGGGACACGCACTGATGTCACGGCTGCGGCACCCAGCCCTGCGGCTCCACTTATAGAAGAATTACTGGAAGCTGGTTTCTATAAGCAGATCCCGTGATGCAGAAGAAAAGAAATAGAAAATAATTACCTAAAAGGCGGCAGCAGGGCAGGAAAAACAGCAACCGGGGACCCTGGGCACCCCAGCATGGGGACACAGGCATCCCAGCCTGCCCATGGCCCCATCCCAAAGGCCCTGTGCCCAGCACTGGTGGCTGCTCCCAGCCTGGTTTTCCTGGCCAGTGTGCCGGCTGTTCCCGTGTGTCCCGGTGCTGGAATGGGGAAACCCACAGGGGCATGCTCTGGTGCACGGGATGGGGATGAGCTGGTGTTTGGTGGGGGATACACAATGGGGATGCACTGGTGCGCAGGGTGGGGATGCCCTGGTCCCTGTATGGGGATATCAAGTCTTTGCTGTGGAGATACCCCAGTCCTGGGTGTGAGGATGCTCTGGCTGTTGGCATAGGGATGCCTCAGTCCCTGGTGTGGGGATGTCAGTCTGTACTGTGGGGACACCCCAGCCCGTAGCAGGACGACACACTGGTACCCAGCACAGAGATTAGCCAGTCCCTAACACAAGGATGCCCTGGTCCATAAGAAGGGGGTGCCCTGGACCCCAGTGTGGCAATGCCACCATTCCCAAGGTGGAGATGCGCTGATCCCCTGCTCAGGGGAGCCAGGGGGTGTTTGCTCCCCCAGTGTGGGTTCACAGCCATGGGGCATCTCTGCATCCCTCATCCTGTCCCCTGCCCAAAACCAGCCCGAGGGCAGATGGGGTGTCCAGGGAGGTGACAGGGGTTGGTGCTCGGTGTCCATGGTGGTGATGCTCTCCCTTCTCCCCACAGCCCCCTTCCTCCCCACTGAAGGTGCTGGTCGCACCGCGAGCCGGTGGCTGCACCCGGTCAGTGGTGCTCATCCTCGTGTGCTCCCGCTGCTCCGCCACCATCACCTCCCCATGCCCGGACCTGCTCATCCGCACCGTGAGTGCCGCATCCCCATGGCAGGGATGGGGGATGCGTTAAGGGGGGGTCCCCTTATCTGCGGAGACAATGCTGGTGGTACCCCAGGGAAGCGGGGATGGGACGAGCCTGAGCACGAGCCCGGCCAGGCAGGGGATGACGCACAGGGCTGGAAAAAGCTCCCGTTTCCTCCGGCCGGTGGGAGGAAGGTCAGGGATGGGTTTGGCTCCAGCCAGCTTTGTTAGCAAAATAAACCTCCTGCTTTGTTTGGGGCTAATAATAAAGCAGGCCGAGCTCTCCGCATGCTGCTGGCTGCTCTCTGAACCCCTCCATTCATCCGGGTGACCCCAACCCCAGCCGTGATGGAGCCATGGCTCCAGGGATGCCCAACCGGCTGCATCCTCCACACTGGGGCTTTCCCTGCTCTCCCCATGCAGCCGGTGCCGGGCAGGGATGTGCTTCCCCCCCTGCCCCAGCTCAGGCTGTGCTCGCCCTGCAGGATGCTCGCCTGGACACGGGGATCACCTCAGCACTGGCTGTGTCCATCGGCGAGGGACCGCTGCTGGCCTGGGCTCGGGATGCCTATGGGGGCATCACATCCTACAGCGAGCTGCGGGACCCCCGCTGGGTGCAGCTGCGCCTGGGAGAAGGTGCATGGGGCTGGCTTAGGGGATCTGGGGTCTTCCTGCTTCCGAGGCCCTGAGGGAGATGCTATGGGGAACGATGCCCCGGCCTTCAGCATCTCCCCACCCCATAGCCCTGTTTGGTGACTCCCCCCTTTGCCTCCATAGACCCTGCCAGCCCCCCGGACTGCATCCCCCAGGAGCGCTTTGATGCCACGCTGCACCTCGAGACGGAGGTGTTCTTCCATGGGATGAAGGGATGCTCACGAGGGGACACCCAGAGCACCAGGGCTGCCCACATCATCCGTCTGCAGCCTGAGCCCAGGTACCACACATGGGAGGGTGGGAGATGCTTGGAGGTGATGCTTGGGAAGGGGTGATGTGGCCCATAGGCAGAGCACCACGGGTATGGGAGCCTCTAGTGTGGAATGCTGATGCAGGAAGGGGGAATCTTGTGGCTTCACAGCTTCCCCATCACGGAGGTGAACCTGACCCTGAGCTGTCCTGAGAGAGCTGTGAGCAACCAGATCCTCATCCTGCAGAGCTGGGCTAACATCACCTGGTCCCTCTCCGTCAACAACTGCCACATCCAGTTCCTGGTAGGGCTGGGTGGGATGTGTGTGTGTGTGTCCAGGGCATGCCAATGGCACTGGGAGGGTGGCACTGGGGACATTGGGTACAGGGAGGTGGCAGCCCTTTGTAAGCCATCCTAATGGGGATGACCCCTGATGCTGCCCCTGCTCTGAGCATCCCCAACCATCCGCATCCCTGCTCAGCTCCCCTGTGCTGCTCCCCCTCTGTCCTTAGGTCTCTGGGAGCTACAAGATCGCTCCCATCTCCTCGCTGCTGCTCCCTGGGGAGCTCCTGCCCGACTCGGAGCAGGGCCTCATTGCCAAAGCCTTCGAGAAGAACTACAGCATCATCGCCTCCTACTCCACCATCCCCGCCAGCACCCGCGTCAGCCTCGAGATCCAGGACCACGGTGAGGCCCCATGGGCGCAGGGCAGGATGTGGGGTGGGGGGGTCCCACTGCCCCTGCTTAGCCCCACATCTCCCCACGGCACAGAGGCGGTCAGGAGGGTGCCCGTGACACCCACAGCCCCGTCCCCCACCACGTACTCGCTGCCCCACGTGCTGCTGCTGATGCTCCAGCCATGGAAGTGCACGGATGAGACCATGGAGATCGTCATCGCCAGGTCCCACCTGGAGGTGAGGGGTGATGGGGGGTCCCAGAGACCACCAGTATTGAATGGGGGGGGGGGTGCTGGCACCCTTGTCTCACACATTCACACTCAAACTCATGTGTGAATGAGTGAATGTGTGGGATCGAATGAGAGCGCTGGGTGCTTCCCTGCAGCCCATCAAGGACGTGGTGAACATCACCCTGCGGGACATCAGCTGCCAGGCGGAGAAGAACGCCACTCACTTCATGCTGAGGACCCCCCTGAGCCACTGCGGCACCTCGCTGGAGGGATGGGAGCACGCCAAGAACGAGGTGAGGAAGGGGTTGGCATCTCCATGGGGTCCTCGTTGCTTTGGGTGGCTGGAGACATCCCCCATGCAGCCCAGGGCTGCTGCAGCTGTGTGCTGGGGGAGATGGGGGAGTGTGGGGGGGCTCCCATCCCATCCCACACGGTTCCCATCCCATCCCATAACATCCCATCCTATGGTGGAACCCATCCCACTGGGGATGACAGACCCCGGCACTGAGGACCGCTCATCTGACCCAACCTTCCTCCCCTTCTCACAGCTCATCCTCAACCTGGCCAAGGGCGCAGTGCTCCGGAGCGTGCGGGTAAGAGCCAGGTTTCCCATTGGACCTGCTGGATGGGGCTGGACCCCATTTTCCCCTCATCAGGCATTGGAATGGGGGAACCGGGGCAGTGGTGGAATCACCCACTGTGCCTAGAAGTGCTCATAAACCAAGCAGATGAGGCCTTCGGTGCCATGGGTTAGTGGGGGCCTTGGCAGTGATGGGGAGCAGTTGGACTTGATGAGCTTAAAGGGCTTTTCCACTCCGATGCTATGATATCCATGGGGATATTCTATGACATCCATGGGGGTATTCTGTGATATCCATGGGGTATACTATGATATCCATGGGGATATTCTATGACATCCATGGGGGTATTCTGTGATATCCATGGGGTATACTATGATATCCATGGGGATATTCTATGATATCCATGGGGTATACTATGATATCCATGGGGATATTCTATGATATCCATGGGGTATACTATGATATCCATGGGGTATACTATGATATCCATGGGGTATACTATGATATCCATGGGGATATTCTATGATATCCATGGGGTATACTATGCTATCCATGGGGATATTCTATTATACCTATGGGGATATTCTATTATATCCATGGGGTATACTATGATATCCATGGGGATATTCTATGATATCTATGGGGATATAATAGCCTATGCTATCTCATCATGAGATAACAGTGCCAGTGGCACCGGCAGGATGCTGTGGGGTGACCCCACAGTGCTGTCCCCCCCATCCCCACAGGTAGCCTTCCAGTGCAAGATCCCACGGGAGCTCTTCCTGCGCCTCTTCCCCACGGCCGCCTTCGAGGCTCCCCAGACAGAGCTGGAGGTCAACAAGGAGGCGTTTGTGCAGGTACCCCCTGATCGGTGCCCGGTTGGGATGGGGGCAGATCCATCCCTCCCTCCCCATGGCGGTGCCGCTCACTGGTGCGCATCACCGGTGCGCATAGGGAGGGATGCGCCCATCCCACCCCATGGCGGTGCCGCTCACCGGTGCGCATCCCTGCGCAGGCATCCATGCGGTGGGAGGACCACCCTGCCGACCTGCAGCTGAAGGAGTGCTGGCTGGCGGTGCCGGGCCGGGAGCCGGTGCTGCTGGTGCAGGGGGGGGAGGCTCGCAGTGCAGGGGTGGCCGTGCTGCAGGGCCCCCCCAGCGCCCGCGGCAGGAAGGTCTGGCGCTTCCGATTCACCTACATCGTCCCCGAGGGCGGCCGCGTCCCCTTCTCCGCCACGCTCAAGTGCAAGGCGGGCTTGCAGGTAACACCCCCCCCCCCCAAACCAGGTCCCTGCGATGCCACCGCGTTGGTCCCCATCATCGGTGGTGGTAACGCAAGGGGTTGATCCCATCCCTGCTTCCCAATGAGCCTTGCCCCATGGTGGGGTGCGGGTGTCCCCCTTCTGAGCCCGACCTCCACCCCACAGAACAACACCATCTTTGAGAAGGTCCTGGAGGTGACGGTGAAGGACGGCTGGAGGCTGACCAACAGTGAGTTTGGGGCTGGGGTGGGATTAGGGATGGAAAGGGACCCCCTTGTGGTGTGATGGTGCTGATGGTGCTGTCTCCATCACAGACCGCGGGCTGGGGCTGGCTGCTGTCCTGGGCATCACCTTTGGTGCCTTCCTCATCGGCGCACTCCTCACTGCCGGGCTCTGGTACATCTACTCGCACACCCGTGAGTATCCATCACCCCTGGGGATCCCTATTGTGGGATGCGCAGGGGGGGGACACACATGTCCCTTGCTGGGTTGTCTATGTCCTGAATGGCCACGGTAGCCAGGGGCCAGGCTGCTGTGTTGCCAGCATCCTTATGGCTCTCTTGGCAATGCCATAGGGGAATAACCCCTCTGAGGGTGGATAATTTTATATACATAGATGTATATACACACATAGATACACACACACTATATATGTGTGTATATATATATACACACATATACATGTGTATATATATGTGTATAAATGCATATATATACATACATATGTATATCTATGTATATATACATGTGTATATATACACATATACATGTGTATATATACACACATATATACATATGTATGTGCATATATGTGTATATATGTATACTTTTATATATACACATATATACATATATATACACATATATACATAAATACATATATGTATTATACGTATATATGTATATATACATTATACATATATATGTATATACACATTATACATACATATAAATGCATATGTGTATATATACATGTGTATATATACACATATATATGCACATACATATATAGCATATAGAGTATGTATATCTACATATATAGTATATATATCTATGCATATATGTGTGTGTATATATGTGTATACTATATATAGTGTACATGTGTGTGTATATATATATATAGAGTGTGTCTGTGTGTGTGTGTATATATATATATATAGAGTGTGTCTGTGTGTGTGTGTATATATATATATGTATATGGACCCTATTGCCATGGGGTCTCTATATATATATAGAGAGAGAGAGAGAGAGTGTGTGTGTATATGTATATATATATATATATATGTATATGGACCCTATTGCCCTGGGGTCCCCCCTGCCTCTCCTCCTGCTCCTGCCATCACCATGCCCATACCCATCTCACGGTACCAACCCCAGAAGGGTCCTTGCCGGGGGGATGCCGGTTGCCATGGGAGCAGCCGTGGTCCCCAGCAGCCCCCCCCTGACCCTGCTCTCCCCTTGGCATCTCCCCCCCTGCCCCTCACCGTGCTCCAGGTCCCATCTCCAAACTGCAGCCGGTCTCCAGCACGGCGCCAGCCTCAGAGAGCAGCAGCACCAACCACAGCATCGGCAGCACCCAGAGCACCCCCTGCTCCACCAGCAGCATGGCCTGAGCCCGCGGGGCACAGACTTGGGGGACCCAGCCCGCACCCATTCAGCTGGTTTTTTACCCCAAATCTCAGGCCGAGCCCGGTGGGGGCCTCCGTTACTCATTCAGTGAATGCTTTGGCCCCCCCCAAGGGCAGCCCATGCTGGGGAGGGGGGAGGCAGGGAGAGCAGCTATTGCCAAAGCCCCCCCCCGCCAAGGCTCCCCATCAAATGGGGACAGGCAGAAGTGGGTCCCCCCCAAGAAGGCAGCAGGCACCATTGGGAGCAGCAAGAGGTCTATTGGGAGCTGGGGGGGGGGGATGGGCAGACCCCCCCTAACCCCCTCCAGCTCCACGTCCAAGTTACAAACTGTTATTAATAATAATAAAAATCTCTCCTACATTAAATTAGTCCTGCTCTAAAGGGGGGGGGCTCAGGACCACCCCCCAAAACCGCACCCCCCCCCGGTACACCATAGGGCAGCCCCCTAGAATGAGGGGTCTTCCCAATGAAGTGGGTTGGGGGCCATGAGCATCCCCCCCTCCCATAGCCAATGTCCCCATGGGGGGCACAGGCAAAAGGCACTGGGGTGAAGAGGGTGAAGGCAGGAAGGGGTTGGGGGTCCCCTGAACCCCCCAACCGCCTCCGAGCATCCTCAGGGCGTTCCAAGGGGGTACCCCCCCATCACTGGGACAAAGTGGGGTCCAGCAGCCGCAGGGCGCCCCCCACCAAGTGCAGGCTCCCAGTGACCAGGACACGGATGGCAGCCGCCTCCTGCAGCAGCACGGCCCCGCTGCTGGCAGCAGGGTGCGGGTGAGCACCCATGGGTGCTGCCAGGTGGGGGTCCCGGCCCTGCGCCACCCATCGCAGCGCCTGCGCCAGGCAGGGGAACACCAGGGACGGGGAATTGAGGGGTCGCGGGGATGGGGGCACGAGGAGCAGGGTCCCTCGGGAAGGGGCCGGCTGCAGGAGCCCCCCGACCCGCAGTGGGGCTGGGAGCCAGGGGTCCTGGCCCCCTTTCTCCTCCAGCAGCCGTGTCCAGGTCTGCTGGTTCTGCAGGCAGCGGGTGAGGGCGTTCTCCAGCGTCACGTTGAAGTTCTGCTGGTCTGCGAGGGATGGGGTCAGGGATTAGGGGAGTCGGGGATGGAGCAGACCCCGGCTCCCCAACACCCACCTGCGTTGCTGGTCACCGATGTCACCTGCGTGAAGTTGGGGCAGAAGACGGCGTAGTCGAAGCGGCAGGGCTGTGGGGAGACAGAGCCTGCAGGACCCACACATGGGACCGGGACGGGGTGATCCGAGTGCCCCCATGCACCGAGGGATGGAGGTGGGATACAAACAGGAGCACAGAGCATCTCTGCTCCCCACACTGACACTAAAGCAGGGCCCAGCACACAGTGACCCCTGCACCCCAAAACCTCACCAGCAGCAGCTTGAGCAGCGCTGCCGTGTCCCGGTCCCCCGTGGCGTTGAAGAGCAGCACTCGAACCTCGGAGCCGCTGTGGTGAGAAAGGATGGGTCAGAAGTGCCCCATGGGGACCCCCATGTGTGCGTGCACCCCCTCCTGTCCCCTCCTTACTCATGGGGTTTGTCCTGGCCGAGGGCAGCCTGGCGGAACCATCGCACGCAGGCCTGGATGCTGCTGGTGGTGTGAGCCCCATCCAGGTACCACGTCACGGGGCCATGGGGCAGCACTTGGGTCCGGCCAAGCCACTCTGTGTCCCGCAGGCCTTGGTGGGGGGGGGGGCACAGGGCATGGCTGGGACCCCATAGGGACCACATGTGGGCACAGGATGCTCCCCCTGGCTCAAGCCCTATGAGATGGGGGGGGTCTGGCATGTCCATACTGCACCTTGGATCATGGCATCGGTGGGATGGAATGCAGGCGCCAGTGGCACCGGTCTCCCCGCCAGCTTGGTGCTTGGTGGCATCTCCTTCAGCTCCCCAAGACCTGATGGGACGGGCGCTGTGCTGAGGTCCTGGGACCCACGGCAAGGTCTGACCCCCCCCATCCCTGTGCCCCCCATCCTTACCCCGGCAGCCACGGCGCTGCAGCCACATCCGTGCTAACTGCAGGGCCAGGGCAGCGTTGCTGCGCTGGTGGGAGCCCGCCAGCCCCAGCTCCAGGGCATCGTGGTCCTCAAAGTCATCCAGCTCCGGGCACAGGTAAAGGGGACACTGGGGGAAGAGGAGATTGAGCCCCCCCCACCTCACTATGGGGTGCCCCACATCCGCCCCACTGCTGCCCAGCTCACCTCCCGCTCCTGCGCTCGGTCCCTCAGCACCTCCAGTGGCCGCTCTGGTTGTGCCACGGTGAATGCTGGCACGCCGGGCTGCGGGGACAGGGGTGCTCAGCCCCACGGGCAGCGCACCCCGAACCCACACAGAGCAGGATGGGGCCGTCTCCGTACCTTAAAGATGCCCCCCTTCTGCCAGGTGATCTTCTCCATGGTGTCCCCCAGGATGCTGGTGTGGTCGATGCCCAAGGAGGAGACCCCGCACACCACCGGCGCCCTGGGATGCAGCGTGGTGGCGTCCATGCTGCCCCCTCCACCATAGGGATAACAGGCACAGGGGCAGGCTCTGCCCCACAGCTCCTACCTGATGATGTTAGTGCAGTCGTAGGCACCGCCAATGCCAACCTCCACCACTGCCAGGTCCACCTGGGGACACAGGGACACCAAAGCCATCAGAGGCACCAGCAGTGGGTGTCCCCATGGATTCAGGGATGAAGGCATCACCACCATCCAAACCCACGCCTGAACACGTATCTTACTCATGGGAAACCATCCTTTTGGCACAGCATCCCCTGTTACAGCACGACTGATGCAAGCCCTGCCCCAGTATGGGGCTGGACCCCATGTGCCCGCATCCCCAAGGACCCTCACCCACCCCATGTCCCCATCCCCAGCTCGGTGTCCCCACTCCTCTACCTTCTCCTGCAGGAAGACATGGAAAGCCATGATGGTGAGGAAGCGGAAGTACGCCGGCATGCTGCCACGCGCGGGGTCCTGATGGGCACAGCGGGGGTAAGGGGACTGCATGGGACACATGGCCCATGGGGGGGGGTCCTAAGGGAGGGACCCCCCCTCCATCCCCACCTTGGTCTCCTCCAGGCGGTTGTAGACCAGCCAGAAGTACTTGCTGAAGAGCTCCCTGCTGATGGGCTGCCCATTGATGCGGATGCGCTCTCGGACCTGCACCAGGTGAGGGGAGCTGAAGGAGGAGGGGGGGGCACAGTCAAGCACGGCACCACCAGCACCCCCCAAAACCCCTCCTGACCCCCCCATACCCACCTGTAAAACCCGGTCTTCAGCCCATAGCTGCGGAGGATGCACTCGGTGAAGGCACACGCTGAGCCCTGCGGGGAGCTGAGTTAAACCCTCCCCATCCCACTGGGGCAGGAGCAAAGGGAACTGGTGATGGTGACCCCCCCCCCGGCCTCACCTTGCCCTTCGTCCCCGTGACGTGGATGATGTTCAATTGATCCAGGTCCTCGACCTGCCCGAGGTCAAACACCCGGTGAGACCCCCAGGGCAACCAGCGCCATGCATGGGCCGCCAGCATGGGGTGGGACACACAACGTTGGGGATACCCCCCCCTTCACCTTGAGTCCGCTCCTCTCCAAGAAGCCCCTCATGGCTTCCAGCTGGGCCTGGGGGTCTCCACGCTCCCGTTTCACCTGCTCCAGGAAGCTGGCGTTGGTCTGGAGGGTGTTGAGGGTCCGGATGGCATCCTGGAACGATCCCCCCCCCGCCATAGGGGTGGTTAAAGCGGTGCCCATCACCGCAGCATCAGGTCTGCACCCATTGCCCAGCGCCCCATCGGGTTCAGCATCCTCTTCCAGCCGCCCCACTGGTATCTCCGCCATGGTGTACACCCCCCCCCCCCTTAACCCTGCTCTCCGGCAGCACCTGCGCCGCGATGCCACGGGGATGGCGGCATTTATCAGTGGGAGGGACCGCGCCTCCCTCCCTGGGTGGCGTTGGCCCCGCACCAGCACCCACAGCACCCAAAGGCGCCGCGGGCGGTGCTCGGTGCCGCCCCGCTGGTGGTTAAACAGAGGCGCCGATGAGGCAACAGCGAGCACGTGGGACACCGGTGCCGCCGTTACAGGTGGCACCGAGCACCCCGAACCCCCATGGGGGGGGACACACAGGCCTGGCCCCGGCGCTGTGCGTGCTGCAGTGGGGCCCTAGCGTAGAACAAGCCCTTGGCCCTGGGGCAGGGACGCCCCAGCGGGCTCCATCCCAGCAGGCAGGGACTGGGCACTGGGGATGCTCCCACCTCCAACAGGCTCCATGTCCGGGGGGGGGGCTCCGCATCCCGGGGACCCCACGACCCCCGGGGCAGGCCGCGGTCTGCCCGGTGCCACCACGGCTGCCGCAGGCTCTGCGGGCTGACAGCGGCTCCCGCAGCACCCGGCGGGCAGGGATGGTGCGCAACGGCCAAGGGCTGCACGCCGGTACCGGAGCCACAGCAGCTCGGAGCCCCCCTCCCCATGAGACCCCGCTGCAGGCCTGCGGGTCCGGTGGCGCTGGGGAGCCCCCCCGGTGCCCGCTCCCCCCGGTGCCCCCCCCCATAGCCGGTACCTGGTAATCCATGGCGGGAGCCCGCGCGGGCCACGTGCCGAACCCCCGCCCCGCGCCCCGCAGCGCCCCGCGCAGCGCGCTCACGCCCCGCGCCACCATCCCGCCGCGCCAAGGCACGCGCGCCCCCCACCCCTCCCACCGCGCGGCCACGCCCCCCTCCTTTCCCCTCCCGCCACCGCCGCCATCTTGGAAGCGGGCAGCGCGAGCCACGTTTTGCGGCGGGGGGCGACGACACAATGATACGACACGACACGACGACGCCATGTTTGTGAAGGGCAATGGGGGGCACACCGGGATAACGGACCCGGAACCTTCGTTCCTCACCATGGAAACAGCGATGCGGAGGGGCTGGTGCAGGGGAATGACCCCAAACCCCCAACCATGCACTGGGGCTCCAAGGGATGCTCTGGGGCGCAGGCAACCCCTGCCCCGGCAGCATCACCCTCACCCAGTGCCCCCAGTGCAGCGTTAACCCACCATAGCTCTAATAGCGCTGACCCTCGGGGGGGGGGGGTGTGCAGAGCAAGGCACCAGCATGGGAATGCCACCATCCAGCCCCCCAAACTGGGTGCCTGTCCTCGGTAGGGCCAGGGGTGCTGCATCCCAGCACTGCTGCAGCTCACCCTGCTCAGCGAGAGGGACACAAAGGTTAAACCCAGCCCTTTTGGACAGCATCGTGTTTATTCACAACCAGCTGAAGCCATCTGGCTCATTGCTTGCAACCAACCCTGGTTTAGCCAAAGAAACCAACCCCACACACACACACACTCCACCCCCTGGCCGCAATCAGAGCCCCACACCAAGAGATTTACCTTGTACATGTCCTTTATCAGCCTCACTTTGTGTCCTGAGAACGGCCCCGCTCACCACCGCGTCCTCCCCTGAGACCTTAAGCTACCAACGTGGCTTTGGCCACCAGCCTGGTTAACGGACAACCCACCGGATGCCAAAGGTTATCCCCCCCCTGCATGGCACATACGTTACCTGGTTGGGATCCGTGGGGCTCAGGGAGCCATCTGCAGCTGATGGCTATGGAAGACAAAGTGCTCAGCGAGCTGGGAAGGACTGAGTTGGTCCCACAAGGGTCTAGAAGGTGACCACACACCATCACAGTGCCCAACTGGAGCCAAGATGCCACAGGGGAGAGCAGACAGCTTGCAGTGAAGGTGCTGCATGCTGCTACAGCCCAATGATTCCCACTGCAAATCCTGGCTGTATGGAACAAGCTGTGCCACCCAGTAAGCCCAAACTAGACTGGAGCCCAACTCCAGTGAGTTAGTAATGCTGCCTAGAGCAACGCTGCCTTCCCCAAGACAGCTCTGCATTACTCAGAAGCACCCACCTCAACCTACATCAAAGCTTCAGGGTTCAGAAGATACACCATAGAGGAGCTAATAGAGGAGCTACTATCAACCAAGAGAGAAGCATCTCCCAGCAGCTACCCCCAGTCCTGCTGGTCACAGCACCATTTGCCAAGAGCCTCAGCACCAAGAGAGTCGCTTTCTCCATCACCAGGTCCATCATGACCGCTCTGCGAGATGAACATCACCACTACAGGCTGCTGCAAGGGGGGCAGAGCTCTGTGCAAAGCTGCAGGGAAACAAGTCTCTCCAGTCACACAGCTCCACAGCGGCTGAGCTGCTGCATGAGGAGAGGACAGAGCGCAGTTCAAGGCACTTCACCTTGAAGAAAGTCCTTTCCCAGGCAGAGACCTCACTGGGACAACCCCTGCTCCCAGTCAGGACCCCATTGGGGCCGCCCCTGCTCAGAATACCCTGTCAAACTCAGTCTGGTTGGTGGCAGCTGGGTTCCTGCCTTGGTTAGGTGGCTGCTGGGGCATGTGCCCCCCTCTCCTGCGCGGTGGGGCCAGGTACTCGAACATGGACTGGTTGTGGGTGGACAGCATGTTTTTGAGGTCCGAGGGCATGGGGTCTGACCAGAAGAAGTCGTGGTTGAGCGCGTCGTCGCTGTCGATCCGCTGCGCGGGATCCAGCACCAGCAGCTTGTCGATGAGGTCAAGTGCATAGGGGTCCTTCACGTAGGCTTTGAGGCGGTCCTTCACCTTCCGCTTCTGGCCCTTAGGGAGATCCAGCTTCTCGTACAGCTCGTACTTATCCACGTTAGGCCAAACCTGGGAAAAGGCAGGGGAAAGGGGAGTTGGGACAATATAGTTATGGAGAGGACGAGCCGTTCTTGATGTGAACCCCTTCAGGCAAACCAGGGCGAGGTCTGCTGAGACAATGCTAGTTTATAACTCCCAAGCCAGCAGACCTTGTTCCCACAGGATGAAGGAGGCACTAAAAGGTGCACTAAAGCCTGGAGATGTGTGGACAAGTCAGGACAGCATCCTTGTGGTGTGGGAACGGCATGCAGGATGCTCCAGGAGTTCTGGCTCTCCCACAGGATTACTACTAGAGAGCACAGCTCCAGCATCCAGAAAGGCTGAGTGACAAAACTCATTGCTAAGTAACAACCGGGATGTATGTGGCACCTTTTATCCTTACAGAGCAAAGCATGATGCAATCATGAGCACTCCTCTCACCCACAGCAGGTATCTACATACAAAAGAAAGGGATTTCAGTGTACACACATAATGTATGCACATTATGTATGTACCCTGAGGCCTCTGCAGCTGCCTGCACAACACAGGCGGAGAGCCCTCAGCTCAGTCCCCACCAGAGGGCAGGACAAGCTGCTCTTAAATAAGGAGCTGAGCAAGGGCTGAGCGCTCACACCAGGATAAGCGGATGCCACGAGTCACAAGTCAGAACTCCAGAGGCTTTTCAAGGTGATCAAAAAACCCCACTCTTCTTTAAGCAGGAATTCAGAGGGTGTTTATCTGAGAGACAACCCCCAAACACAGGCCAGGTTCCTACATGTAACGTTCTGCTCCTTCACACTGGAGCAGCCAGCATCCTCTCTGTGCTCAAAGATATGACTTGCCCTTCCCAAAGGAGGTCTGGAAGGGCAGGTTCATCCTCTTTTCCTTAGGAGGCCGAACACAGGTAAGGTGTCAGCTGTAGCTTACACAAGGGAAGCACAGTGCACCCAGCACCCAGCACTTGCAGGAGCTTCCCCAGCCTCCCTGCCACACTCCAGCACTGGGAGCACACAGAAGCCAACATACAGAGCAGGGAAAAGACGCAGGGGTGCCTGATCCCAGCCATTGCCAACATCACCACTTCCCTCCTCCCTGCCCATGCTCTCGCCCTCACCTCCGGCGTGATGGACCCGCAGAGCTGGCTGATGAGGGTGAGCTGGTGCTGCTCCGTGTTCCCCTGCATGATGGGGCTGCGGGTCCACATCTCGGCCATGATGCAGCCTCCACCCCACAGGTCAATGGGGGGGCCGTAGTCCCGCTCCCCTAAACAGAGATGCTGTGTTAGTCACCTGGGGAAAGGAGAAGGGCAGAGAAGAGCAGAGCCCAGCATCTTGTACCTAGGAGCAGCTCTGGCGGCCGGTACCACAGGGTCACCACGCGGTTGGTGTAGCGGTTGGGTTGGCTGTTCTTGGCCAGGCTGAAGGCTCGAGCCAGCCCAAAGTCTGCCAGCTTCAGGACTCCATCCCGTGTGATCAGGACATTTGCAGCCTTCATGTCTCTGTGCAAGATCTGCACAAGGACAGACACCAAGAGGTTAAGCCATGAAGGTCCCCTCCTTGGGTACCCAGTGCTAGAGGGCGCTTGGATTCTGGCCTCCTTTCCAGCCTGTGCTAAGACATGGGCTCCTTGGAAAGCCATGGAGAGCATGGATCTGGTCTGTTACCTTGTTCCTGTGGATGTAGTAAAGTCCATTCAATAGCATCTGCATCACTTTCTTGATCTCTGAGAGCGTGAACTTGACGTGGGCATTGCTGAGGAGGCCAGCCAGGTCGTGCTCACAGAAGTCAAACACAAGGTAGATACTGCCCTTGCAGCGGTTGTAGGGAGAAGCTATGGGAGAGGCAAAGAGGGACTGTCAGCACGGGACCCTTAACCCCATCACAGCTCCTCCTGCCCCCCCCAGCCACCCCGCTGCTCATACAGTGCTCACCAGACAAAACCTCAGGGCACAGGAACACAACAGAACCAGAGACAGCCTCAAGATCCTTCTTAAACACTCACTGAGACAGCACAACCAGCAATGGAAGAACAGGGGATGAGGATGAGAGCAGTGAATGTCATCAGCCAGGCAAAGAAAGGAAACGACATCCTTTGAAAGCTTCACTTTGTGCTTGCTCTGTGCAGTAACGGCTGTGGGGTTTCCTCCCTGCAAGCTGTGGCTGGTAGGTGCACACACACCTCGCTGCCAGCCAAGCATTATCACTGATGGCATCAGCGATAGAGGAGGCACCAGCAAAGACAGCCCCTGGGGAAATGCAGAACCAGAGACTCTCTCTAATATAAGATTAGAGAGTGAGGTTTTCCACAACCTCAAACTGCATCTACATAAATAGACTGATCTGAATCAAAGGGACTGAAAAACTCCAGCTCCAACTGCAATTTACAGTAACAGGAAACCTCACACGAAGCAGCCGATTCCAATCTTGTTCCTAGAGCAGACGTGCAAAACACTATAAAGGCTGATTTTCATCAGCTGTAATCAGCAAAACCCACTGATGAGCAACTCCAACCAGCAAAGGACGCCTAAGCTCAGCCCCCGTGGAAACCCATCACTACCTGCCATACTGGGTTTGCAATTCCTTACACAGATACAGCCCCTTCTGAAACCTTCAAGCCTGAGAACAGCAAATGTGAAGTTTCTGTTTCACTGCAAGCTAAGGTCAAGGTGGAGTTGGATGAAAAGTGGAATTCCAGTAAAACACACAAAACTTGTGTGTTTCCAAAAATATTTACCTTGGGTTTGCCAGGCACAGTCATCCCAACTTAACCACACAATGAATTACAGATTAACCTGTCTCTGGGTTTCACTCCTACCTGTTCAGACCATAACCTACATACAGTGGAGCACTGGAGTAACTGCAATCCCTGCTCCTGAGCCAGGGGTTTTTCCCAGTTCAGTGACCGGGCTCTTCAAGATCAATCACAAGCCACTTGGTGTTTATTTAACTGCAGTGACTGACTGGATGCTGTGGTTTAAACACTGGCTGCCACTTTCAAAAGCATTTTTCCAGTAAAAATGTACCTAAGAGAACGATATATTCAAACTCGCCAATGTTTTAAAGCCGTACCACTGACACAGGAGCACTGAGCACGCCAGCCACGCAGTGAAGGAACACTGTGTGTGGTACAGCAGCTACAGAACACCCCCATCTGGAGCTCCAGCCCTCACAGCACGTTACTGTCACCTACAGAAAGGTGCTGAGCGAGTCTCAGCTCAGAGCTACCACAAACCCAACCATCATAAGACAGCTGAGAGGGACAGCTCCAGCTCCTGTGAACAGCCACAGGATCAGCTCTGGTTGAGAACTCTCTGCTTCAAAGTGTCTCTGGTGGTGGCTTATTTAAAGCCTCTCACAGGGGAGTTTTCCAACACAGGCAGCATTCACTGCCATGGCACAGGGATATCCTAGCAGGACTGACAACAGCTTTTCCAGCCAAGCTGCAGCAACACCCCACATCACAGACAGGAACAGAAGAAGCCCATGCTCAGCTGGAGGACCCCACTCCCAGCACAACACACCAGCCTGCTCAGCTGTAAAGAAGGGATGAACCAAAAGCAGCAGCCAGCACAAGGCAGACCCTGCCAGTTACCTTTGGTCCTGCAGATTTCGATGAGGTTCACCACGTTCTCATGTTTGAGCAGCTGGAGGATTTTAATCTCTCGCAAGGCTGTGATGGGGAACTGGAAAGGAGAAAGAGAGAAGAGGGATTAGAGATGCAGGAGACCAGGCCACCCCTGCCTAGAGAACAGGAGAGACATGACCATAGCTGCTTGGTAATGGGACCTGTTTGAGCACCACTGCAACAAGTCACTAAAGGGCAATGAGAGGTTTAAAATACAACACAAACACCAGGATTGTCCAAGTTTATTTACCATTAGCACCGGTGCTGATGAAGATTCCGCCATGAGACAGAGGTGTTACCATGGTGCCTGGTCACAACAGAACATGGCAGAGCCTGGCTCCAGCTGCTGCCCATGCCATTTAAGCTGTTAACTTACCCCACCTCTGCACACCCCTGAGCACGTGCCTTTCACACGCTACCCAGTTCCTCCACAAGCAACAGCCAGCGTAGAGCGCTGTGCTGGGGGTGGCAGGGGAGGAAGAACGTGTGAGCAGCATCACTGCAGCAGCTCCTTGCAGCCCAGTCACCACACAAGTACTGCACTGCACTGCTGCCATGTGCCTTTGTAGCCAAAAGGGTGATAACATGGGGGACACCTTGGCTGGGCAACCACAAGGACCAACGTTATCACAGTGTAGGTAGGGGAGGCAAAAGGCCACAGGGCTGGGATGCTGCCCACATCCATGTTACAGCCATAAATGTTGTTATATAACACAGTGAAAGTGCATTTTTGCCATCCCAAAGATTAACTCCCGCTTGTGAACCCCCCAATCCCTGCCCAGCCATGCTCACACACTTACCCCTTCCTTCTCGTTTTCCATCAACACTTTCTTCAGCGCTACCTTCTTGCCCGTCTGACGATGCTTGGCTTTGAAAACCTCCCTATAACAACACAAACCAACCCGTGAGCAGCACAGGGAAGGAACCAAGTGCTCCCGACCAGGAACAACCCCAACCGAGACACACCGCAGCACCACACACACAGCTCTGTGCCCAACGCAGCCACATCCCCTTTGCACCCAAGATCCGTAGGGCTGGAGGAGCCAACACAGAGCCCTACCGGAACACAGGGCAACGCCGCTGCTGTCTCCAGGGTAAACTCTGCCATATCCTGGCACAGAGCAGGGCGCCAGGGTGGGAATATGAGGGGCCGGGGGAGGAAGAGGGAGGGATGCGGGAAGGACCCTAACAAGGGCTGAGCGGGACAAGGCCTGAGGGCTGAGGCCGGGGCAGGCCGCGTCCGTTGGCGGTGAGCCGGGCCCGGCGGAGCACTCACCCGAAGGTGCCCTGGCCGATCTTGGCGAGCTTCTCGTACTTGGACACCTCATCGCAGAAGGGGCACTCCACCATGTCGTACTGCTTGGCCATGCCGCCGCCGCCGCCGCCGCCGCCGCCGGCTCGGCTAGGCCCCAATCCACACCGCACCGCACCCGCCAGCCCCTTCCTCCGCCACCGGCGTCACTGCACTTCCGCTGCACGCAACGGCACCGCGCCGCGCGGGGCATGCTGGGAGTTGTAGTCCGCCGGCGGCCGCCATGTTGTTACCGCTCCGCTCCCTGCGGCCGTGTCCCTGTCCGTGTCCGTGCCTCAGCATCCCCATGGAGCAGCGCCGTGTCCCCGCTCCCCGCCACCCCGTCCCTGGGGACAACGGTGCTGCCGTCCCCAACGTGTGTCACAGGGATATAGCAGCATCGCTGCTCCCTGCCGCTGCGCTGCACCAGGGGATGCGGGAAGGGGACCAAGGCGAGGGGACACCGGGGTCTGGTCCCCGAGTTCCTGCCTTGCTGGCAGACATGGCCATGGCTGGGGTGAAGCCTCCCCATAGCAATGCCCGCTGCTGGGTGCAGAACGGGTTGGTCTGGGGCTGCCAAGGCTGCGAGCACAGGGAGCAAAGGCCAGAGCAGTACCGGGCATCCTGGCCTCGGGGACCACCAGGTGCTCCCTGGGGATGGGGACAACACAGACACCATATCCCTGCTGGTCCTAGGGTACTCTGTCCCGCATGGAGACACCCGTATGGGGCACCCAAAGGTCCCCAGCATGAGAGAAGAGCTGGTGACGGGGGCTTCCATTGGCAGTGATGGCACCTGGCTGTCACCCCATGGGGCACGGTGAGGGTAGGAGCTGAGCCCCAAATGTGCATAGCAGGGCCCTGTCTGTAGGGCAGGACCCTCCTCCATAGGGCTGGCACCTTCATCCATAGGGCCGGTACCCTTGACAAAGCCTGGCACCTTCATCCATAGGGCTGGCACCCTCTTCCATAGGGCTGGTACATTCATCCATAGCACCTGCACCCTTGATAAGGGCTGGCACGCTCAGCCGTAGGGCTGGCATCCTCATTCATACAGCTGGCACTTTCATCCACAGGGCTGGCACCCTCATTCATAAGGCTGATACCCTCCTCCATAGAGCTGGCACCCTCATCCCTAGGGTTGGCATCCTTACCCATAGGTCTGGCACCTTCATCCCTAGGGCTGGTACCCTCATCCATAGGGCTTTTACCCTCTTCCATAGGGCTGGCACCTTCATCCCTAGGGCTGGCACCCTTGACAAAGGCTGGTACCCTCCTCCATAGGGTTGGAACCTTCATCCCTAGGCCTGGCACCCTCATTCATAGGGTTGGCATCCCTCATCCATAGGGCTGGTACCTTCATCCATAGGGCTGACACCCTCATCCATAGGGCTGGCACCTTCCTCCATAGGGCTGGCACCCTCATCCATAGCGCTGGTACCCTCATCCATAGGGCTGGCACCCTCATCCATAGCGCTGGTACCCTCATCCATAGGGCTGGTACCCTCATCCATGGGGCTGGCACCCTCATCCATAGGGCTGGTACCCTTACCCATGGGGCCACCACCCCAGTCCAGGACTGGCTCCCTCCTCTATAGCTGTCACCCGAGGGGTTTGGGTGCCCACATCTGCCCATCATCCCCAAACCGGGGTCCCAGAGGCATCCCCTGTACTAGGAGGTCTGTGGGGCAGGAGGAGGGCGGCAGGGCCAAGGGCAGGGCCAGGAGCAGACGATGAGAGCGGTGGGGAGGAAGTGCCATGGAGCGATGAGCGACTGCGGGGGGGCAGGAAGGGAGGGGCGGGCAGGGAAGGGCTTCACAGTTCTAAACTGGTCCCTCTCGTCCCTGCGCCTCCGAGCGGAGCGGCCATGGCCGAGGGGCAGAAACGAGGGGGCTTCAGGAAGTTCAGTGAGTGGCTGTGGGATGGGATGGGATGGGGTGGGATGGGATGGGATGGGATGGGATGGGATGGGGTGGGGTGGGATGGGGTGGGATGGGGTGGGTGGGCACCTGCACAGGATGGAGCAGATGGGGATGTGTGAGTGGATGTGAATGTGAACATGAGACAGTCATAGTGTGTGTAAGAGTGAATGTGAGTGTGAAACAGTGATTGAGTGTGTGTGAATGAGTGTGAGGCATTGTGTGTGTGAGAGAGTGAATGGGAGTGTGAGACAGTGAGTGAGTGTGAATGTGTGTGAATGAATGTGTGAATGTGAATGTGAATGTGAATGTGAATGTGTGTGTGCTCACACGCTCCCTGTGTCGCTCCAACCCGGGTACATCAGGAGCTGACACAGGCTCTGCTCTCATTGGGGTGAGGGGTTTTGAGGGGTCTCCATCCCCAGCGCTGGGGCTGAGCTCGGGTGCTGCTGGCTCAGGAGCTGGGTGCCAGGATGCACGCAGGGGGATGCACAATGGGGTTTGGGGGGGTCTTCACTCCCCAGATCACATCCTAAGGGATGCAGCATCAGGGGTGCAAGGCGGGGGTGTCCAGGACCCATACAAAGGAGCGGGGTGGGAGCCTGGGAGCGCATTCCCGGCGGCTGCTCCCGGAGGAAGCGCTGGTACCCATCGGGAGCGAGCTCTGCTCTTTCTCACAGCCCCGGGGGCGGCTGCTGTGGCCTTCACCCCGCTTCCCAGCGCCGGGCTGCGCGGGAGCGGCCTCTGCTGCTCTCTGCATTCCTGCGCGGCGCTGGCGCTGGGGGGAGGCCGCTCCTTGCGTTCCCCAGGGACCCTTCCATTGGCAAAACCCCACGTCCCCATCGCAGCTGGGATCGGAGGTGGGAAACGTCCCCAGCGCTGCCTTTCCCACCGCGCAGCAGCCCCTGCAGGGGATGCTCGGACTCGGAGGGGATGCTCAACCCAAAGCAGTTTTGCCTTTAACTCCACTCAGGCCATGAGGTTTCTAACATACAGGAGCGCTTTTCGACTGATGCAGCCCCTGTGTGGCTACGGGGATGCTCTGCAGAGCCCATGGCTGATGCAGCCTCTGTGTGGCTACGGGGATGCTCTGCAGAGCCCAAGGCTGGGGTCAGGAGCTGTGGGTCCATGAGCTCCTCACACAGCACAGCCGCAGCACGCTGCTTCCTGCCTGCAGGGGAAGAGGCTTTGCAGAGCCCCGGGGTGTCACAATCACCGCAAACCCCGCTCCCGAGGCATCCGGAGCGCGGCAGTGAACCCCTGCCCTGCAGCACCCCGTGTGCCGCGGTCCTTGTGCAGCCTGCACGGCGGGGGCAGGCAGAGCGGGGCCGGGACCCGAAACCCGAAGGCTGCCGCGGGTAGGATGAGCACTGCTCTGTGGGGGTGCTCGGGGCTCGCTGCTTGCAGGTGGCTGCGAGGAAGTGGGGACCGCAGCCGCGCTCATGGCCGGTTCCTGCTGCGCCGTGCAGAGCAGCACAGAATGGTTTGGGTTGGAAAGAACCTTTTACATCACCCGGTTCCAACCCCCTGCCATGGGCAGGGACACCTCATGTAGAGCAGCTTGCTCCAAGCCCCATCCAACCCGGCCTGGAACACACACATGGACCCCCATCCATGGGGAGATGTGGTGTGTGTCCCCCATGCTTTCACCCTATATAGTGCAGGGGATGTGTCCTGTGGGGCTGCCCTGATGCTCCAGGGATGGGCACAGCCCTGCCTAGAGTCCCCACTGGGAAGCAGAGAGGAGGTGGGACAGGAGGAAGAGATGTGGAATCATTCCTGGCACTCCCTGGTGTGCTCAGCAGGGCTGGGTGGTTCTTCCTCTGCCTCTACAAGAGGGAAACGCTGCTGTTGGGTTTGCCAGGGCGCAGGGGTTGTTTGCTCCCTAAGGGACGCCCCAAGCAGCATCGCATCCACCCAAGGCCGCAGGGGGGTCCTGCTGGGCTGGGACTGGAGATGCAGGGTGTAACAGGGCTGACATCAGGCTGCACCATGGCACAGCGCCCCATGCACACCCCAGCCCAGGACCTCACCATCACACCGTGCCAGCAGTAACCCCACATGCATCTCTCCCTTCTCCTTGCCAGAGTTCTTCAAGTTCAAAGGCTTCGGGAGCCTGAGCAGCATCCCCCGGTCCTTCACCCTCCGGCGTGTGTCCGTAGCCCCCAGTGCTCCCGAGAGCCTGGGGCCGTGTCTCCCTCCTTCCCATGGCTTCCTGGAGGAGCCCTTCGATAGCACCCAGGATGATCTCAACACCATGCCCAAGAGCCCCGGCCCCTATGCCCGCTCATCGGACATGTACAGCCACATGGGCACCATGCCCAGGCTCAACCTGGGCAAGGCAGGGAAGAGCCAGGGCAAAGCCAAGAGCAGCCAGAGCTGTCGGGATAATGGGATCCCCAGTAACAAGCCCCCACTCCCCAGCTCCAAGATGTCCATCACCCCTGATCCGGGCACAGATTCACCCTCAGCCACTCGGCAAACAGAGCAGAAGGAAGAGGCTCAACCTATGGATGCACCAGTGATGACCAGGATGGAGCAGGAGCCTGCAGGGAGCATGTCCTGCCCCAGGATGGAGGCACCGAGCCTGGACCCAAACCCTGATACAGCAGCAGGATTGGAGACCACTGATGGGGATCAAAAGGGGCAAGAGCATCCCAGCGAGATCTCCCCAGACAGGTACAGCCCCATTGGGTTTGCTCAGCCTTCCTATGGGACCCGCTTTCTGTCGTCCGTCCCCCCCCCAGGGCAAAGGAACGGGGCTGGCACACAGAAGGGATGCAGCTGGCACTGCCGGAGCACTCCGCACCATGGCCAGGTCAGCGGCTCCATGGGAGCGAGGTTTCCTGTGGGATTTCTGCTCCCTCCCGTTTCCGGATGGGGTGGAAACATCTCCGAGCCCCGCGCAGCCCCAACGTCCCTTTGTCCTGCCGGCGGCTCTGCTCCAGCGCTGGGATGGGCTCCAAGGAGCTCGGACCTGAACTGTCCCGGCCCCATCCACCCCTCACTCTCATCTCTTCCATCCCCTCCATCCTTATCCCTTCCATCTTTAACCCCCTCCCCAAGTGGCGCTTCCTCTATCCAGGCTACCCCAGAACCAGCCGCCTTGTCCCCATTTCCATCACTTGCCATTAAACCCCCAGCTCCGGGCACAAATCCCCCCCTTCCACC